AGGGGTATCCACGCAGAAAGTCTCTAGCTGCGCCATGTCTTGACCTAGATATAATCGCGTCATGGCCATTGATGAGATGCTGATCAGGGTAAGATATGGGTCGCCCATTGAGAAAGAAGCCTCGAGTGAGGCTTCCAAGGCCGGTAGTGTTGATGCCATGGGAACACGTAAATGGCTGACGTAGAGATTATGAACGATCGAGCCTCTGCTCTGAGTCGACAGTTCGGGGCAGCGCTCGAGCAGCTCCAGTGAAAGGTCGCTGAGCTTTGTGCCCAACTCAATATCTTTGAAGCGACCTAATGTGATCATGGCAAGGTGAGAACAGCCTATTGCGATCTGTGTAAATCCACCCCTGAAGATATGAATGCTCATTACTTCCAGCGCCATGCGATAAAAAGTCAATGCATCGTCCCAGTAAGTGACTGTCATCGCCTCCGCCATGACTGTGCCGATAGTCACTATGGTGGGGTCCTTGGAGACTGGCTTTTCGGCAATAGACCTCAGGTCAGCGGTATCGAAATAAGACTTGAGGCGAAGATAGGCAGCATCGCACTCCTCATAAGTTGTAGGTTGCCGAAGGTGCACACCCAGTTCATCAAGGCAGGTGAGAAGGGATTCCATTGAGCGGTGATGATCGCCTAGCTGGGCGTAGATTTTGGCTTTAATGATCCAGGCTCTCGACTTGCTTACGGCGTTCTTGCCATGAATGAACACCTCGTTGATCAGTTGGAGGGCGTCGTCATTGTGACCTTGAGACCACGACATCTCGGAGGTCGTGATGAATAGCCGCATGGTTTCATCGTGATAAACGTCGGGTTTGAGGTCATTCCACATATCTTCCTGAAGTAAAGCGATGCAATGACGGAAGTACCAAAGTGCGGAGGGCCGCGCGCCTGACTGGAAAGCTGTTTGTCCGGCATCCCATAAGATCCGTCGATATTCGAGGCGTCTGCTGACGTGGGACTTGATGGTCTGTGACGCAAGTGCGACATGATGAGCCATCGAATAGCGACTGCGATGGTCGTGGTAATATTTCATCAGCGCTTGTGAGACGATGAAATGCATCTTCTCTACATTTCGACTCTCGCTCAAAGAAAGGGCGGCCTGTGCAAGTCGTTCATTGCCAAATCTAGAAGATTAGTTGAGTGTTTTGCCTACGAAACCAACAGTAGATGCCTCACCTAAACTCATCGTCGGTCTTCCCGGGGTTCAAGAGGTTTGCTTGAACTAAAAACTGTAATCCAACAACTATATCACCTTCTGATTGTCTAATGAGTGTGACGTTTTGGGGTGATGTGAGATCAACGTCGTCATCATCGCTGCTCGAATAGAGAAATTCACTTGTCAAAAGCTTTTGCACCAGAGAAAAAGAGAACGGGCTGCCCAGCACAGCTCCCCATATCATGATCGATCGAGCGGCTTCGGGAATTTCCTGAAGACGCTTGGTAAGGAATCCAAGTCCAAGCTCTTCGCCGTAGACAGGAGCCACAAACTCCGTAAATATCCGATCAAGGTCGAATAACCACTTTGAGTCCTTCCATGAATACCAAATACAGTTTGTTCTGTAACAAGTCTCAAGCATTACCCGAACGTAGAAGGGATTTCCTCGGCTCTTTTCCTGGATGACCGCACAGAGAGGTGTCAACGTCTGATCGGGTTTCTGATGCATTGTCGCCGCTACAATCTCCATGACATGCTGCTCTCCGAGGGGCTCAAGTTCGATTCGCGTGACCGTTGGTAGATCTTCCACAAATAAGGCCTTCACCTGATCAGATGTAATCTCATCCTTGCGGCTTGACAGTATGAGCACACATGGGAGTTTTGCTTTGATGATTTTCAATACCAAGTCCAAAGTTTCGTCATCTGCATGCTCGAGATCATCAAGGCATACGGTGATCAGTTTGAATTGACACAAAGTTCGCAAGATCTCAAGGAATGTCTCCATGAGCCGCATGTTCTTTGAAGCAGCATTTGCTAAAAAGAAATCCTGGGAAGTCTGCCCTTGATCTAGCCCGGGGATGTTGACGTGCTTGGATGGCTCGCCCTTGCCTGGCATAAAAAGACTGGCCTTTGCATCAGTTGGTCGGTACTTCGCGCCAGGGGACATCAGCTGCTCGGGAAGATCCAAAACTCTATGAAGAGTGGGCCACATCGGTCGCAGGGCCATTCTAACACTATTGTGGTAATCTGTGGTGACATCGCGCTCGGAGAATATTTGACGCAAAAGACTGGCCAGTAATTTCGCAAAAGGTTCAAATGGGACACGTTTGGCTCGGTCCAGACGAGTAATTGCTATGCATCCAAGTTTGCGAACTGTTGGCTGGATTCGATTTAAGAGGTCCGTTTTCCCAATCCCAGCGGGACCGCTGATTGTGATCACTTCACAGCGCTCGCTGCGGCGAGACTTCCCAACGCTTTTGTGTTTATGAATGGAATGGAGTGATCCCGACTGACTGACAGTATTGTTTGTTGACGGTTGGCTGTGATGACCGACGGACGGATGACTCTCTCTGTCTGTATTATGGGAAGACCGAGAATGTGATGGGCTCTTGACCGCTACTCTCGGGCTTTGGTTGTGGATATCGGGGACAATCGTATGATTTGGAGTAGAAAACGACGTGTCACTACCCGGCGCAGATTCATGGGTGTTTACTTGTGCGAGACTGTTACTGGTGGCATTAGAAGACGACCGAGGAGGCAAAATAAAGGAGCCAGAATCGCTAGAGACAGAAGCAAACTCGAGGCTTTCGATGCGGCTGTCAGAGATGGACGAGGCCGATGTCAGAGCGTGCATTGTACCGGGACTTTGGGTTCCAGCTTTGGCCAAGGCAGCCGCCTGGCGCCTATTGACCTTTTCGATGACATTGAGGATCTTGTCATACTCCTGCTGCCGCCCGAACATCTGCGTTGGGAGAGTGAAAAAGGAAGACACGTCTCCTTGCGCCACTTGAAAATTGCTCAATGCTTCACTGTCACCATCACCAAGCAATTTCGCAATATAGGTCAAGTCTCTCTTCACAGATGAAATTGTGTGATAACGATCATGAACCACCTTTTGTGTCATTTTTTGGATAACAGCCGAAACGGCATCCGGAATATCCATTCGTTTTCCAGATACCGGTACCAATCTCTTGCCCAGTACATTTTGAACGACTTCGACGGGGTCTGTTCCTTCAAATGGTAGCTTTCCCACCAGCATCGACCAGAAAAAGAGGCCCAGCGCATATATATCGGTGCGACTATCTGGCTCTGTCGGCATCCTTCCGGTCTGTTCTGGGGCAATAAATTGCAGCTTGTACTTAGCTCCGAGCTCGCGCGAAACGGAAGACCAGCCTTCGCTGAGGACGTTATCAAAAGATCTAGCACCGTTTCCAGTGTTGGCGAGCTTCACTGCACCTGTCTCTGCACAGAAATGAAATGCATCACCTCTGATTTCACCATGCACGGTCTTCAGGCCATAGTGTAGAATCTCCAGACAATCGCATGCCCCGATTGCAAAATCGAAAAATGCTTGTAAGGAGACCTGCTCGTTGGGGGGTGGCGTTGTTGTCTTCACCTCTTGACCCTGCCACAAATGAGGCGGGGCCAAATGTGACCAAATCTCGCAACCTGTCATGACCTGGAGACTCAAAGATCGCGACTAGCAGCGTCTTTGAGTGGGCATCATCTGACTGTAACCTAATCAAATCGACTGGTCGTATTGTATGATTGCAATCTGGATCTGACGACTGTACAATTGACCTGAGCATGTGAAACTCTCGTTCAAGCCGGATGATGTTGGTGGAAATGCGCGCGATGACCGGGATCCATGTTTGTTCTGTTTCCAGGCTATGTTGGTTGGAAAATGAAATGTCACTACTGGTTTCACTGGCGCTCAATCTTCGCAAGGCACGGGCGGATGGTCTGATTTCTGTGCGCGGGGAGAAGCGCGTGAGGCTTGACGGTCCGGAGGAGGCGGGGTTGGAAGAATTTGCGAGAGGAGTTAAAACATCTGGCTCTAGGGCATGACGGTATCCTGAGATATGCCAGTGGTTGTATGTCGAGTGAAAGGGTTCGATCGTCTGATCCCAGGTATAGCCAGGTAACTGGCCTAATCGTTCGAAAAGTCGGGCCGGTGGAAGTGGCAGGTCTTCGCCGAAAAGAGTACTCTCCTCCATCTCTCAAGTTATTGGGTCGTTTCTGCCCGAGTTACTACCATGAACATGTCCCAGTGCGATGGGTCGAATTCAGCGGGGGATGAGGATGGGATAGGAGGGGCGGGTATAAAAGATATAGCATCCACAAGATAGATTATTTGTAAAATGTACAGTGAACAGGTACATGAGTGTCGCCTTCAGGCGTGTAAAGTGAAGACATCCAGCATAGACGACCTGAAACAAACCAGCGTAGCTTTGAGAATTGAAGATCATAAGAATTATCGCTGCCTAAGGCCTTTAACTTAGTCATCTCTGACAAGTACCGGATTAGGGCATCTAATTGGTGTCTTCTCCTATAACCACAATGCTATGAGATATTTTGGGCGAGGAATATGACTTATTGGCACCTGACATCATTGAAAAACAAGCTATGTTTGCTTTTTTTGGGCATATGCGGCTTAACTTATCATGCAAAGCCGGAGGTATTTGCGCTGTGTCACAAGTCGAATAAGGAGTCTTATACGGAGTACAACGTTGTAGGTTAAAAATGTCATGGACATTCGTCCGAACTTCACATATCCTTTGATTTTCCTCATGATTATCATGAACTTCACAATAACTATAGCATACTTAATTATAAGATCTACAAAGACTAGTATCAGACCGATGATGTTAATTGGTCCGAATACATTGAGTTGTCAATTAGGGCTTGTGGGGTATATACGGTCTATGGACCTCGGCACTGACGCCACTCAGGTACTAAAGCCGGTTTCTCATCTTTGAGATCCTAAGATTTCGTGCTTATATCCGTCTTTTCTTCCTATACATCTTCGTCTACAGGAGTAAGGTCGCTCCCTTTGCATCATGAGCTCGCTTAGGGAACCTCTCGGTCTACTGAAGGCGCTGCTGGCCCGCATTCCTCTGATCATTAAGACAATCCTCCTGCATGGCATTCAAATGTCCCCCGCCAAGGGGAAACAAGATATGCGCACCGAATTGACCGTCGCCATTATTCGCTCATTCATGGCAACAAAAGCTCCACTCGGCAAAACTCAGAGACAAGGCATACGCGACCCCGGAGTCAAGGGCCCGATGTGGGTGTCCAAAGTGACCCTCCCGCAGCCCGAGATCGACGTGCGCGATGCAGTACTACGCGCCATCGAAGATCTCAAGACCGGCGATGAAACATACGATGTACCCACGACGATCGCCGTTGAAGCCGAATGGACCGGTTACCGCGCCGGGGTTGGAAAGAACACACCGGAGCCCGATCTCTCGGAAGAGGAGAAATACCACAAGCTGCGCGAGGAATCGCCGTCTGATATGACGATTCTGTATTTCCACGGCGGTGCCTATTTGTAAGCTATCACTCGATCCACTAACGAAAACATATCTGACGTATCCGAATCAAAACCAGCCTTCTGGATCCCTGCAGCCACCGCGTCCCCGTCGCACATCTGTCTCGTTTAACTGGCGCCCCCGTCTTCTCCGTCCGATATCGTCTCGCTCCTCAAAACCCCTTCCCAGCCGCACTCGTCGACGCCTTGACAGCATACCTATCCCTCCTCCCCCCCCTCCAAGCTCCCTACACAAACCCATACCAGCGAATAAGATCGTATTCGCAGGCGATTCCGCCGGCGGCAACCTCTCACTGGTCCTCCTACAAACACTCCTAACCCTTGACCGCACATCCCACACAATCCGCTTCCACGGCAAAGATGTGCCCATCGAGCTGCCCGCAGGCGTTGCAACCACCTCCCCATGGTGCGACGTGACGCGCTCCATGCCATCTACCAGCGGCAATGCATACCTTGATTACCTCGAGGCACCGGCTGTCCCATCCAACGATCCAGAGGTCAGGACCCCGTTCACCCCGCTCCCTTTCACACCAGACGATATCTGGCCCACGTCCCCACCTCGCGCGGACGTCTACTGCAACGCTAGCATGCTCAGCCATCCATTGGTCTCTCCGCTCGCTGCCCCCGTTAGTCTTTGGAAGAACGCACCGCCTATCTGGATTTCGACTGGCGAGGAGGGCCTCACAGACGAAGGTCTTATTCTAGCGCGCCGCGTCTACCAAGCCGGTGTGCCCCTTGTCGCGGAGATGTTTGAGGGCATGCCGCACTGCCACGGTCTACTTATGATGGGCAGGCCGACCAGTCGTCGTTTCTTCGAGAGCTTTGCTGGATTTTGTCGTGATGCTGTTGCTGGTCGGGTCACGTCGACCGGGAACCTCACCTGGCTGGGCTTCAAGTTGCAGTTGACAAAAGAGATTCCGATAGAAAAGGCCTGTGAAACCAGTGATGAGGAGGTCGAGGCTCTCATGCAGAGAATGTCTGCTTGGAAGCAGGAGGGAGAGATCGAATTGCAGAAGCAGTGGCGTGCGACAGCGCGGTTGTGAGTTGCCTTGAATGCTTTTTTTCTCTTTGTTCCGCATCATACCCTGTATATACAATATTTTGAATGATTGTCATGACAAATGGTATACGAGACGAGTAGTCTGATAGGGCCTAGTCATACGTATACCTTGAACTCATTGGGTGTTCATATGGCTATGTATACAGAAGTTTTTAAATGCTTGATTACTTGGAGAAAATGTCTCGGTAGCAATAAATTACTACCCGGGATTGTATTAGATGCTAACTCAGAGCAGAGTAAAAGTGGGGATTTGAAGGACATCCCTGGGAACTAAAGATATTCATCATTGTCCATCACATCCTCCCCCGACAGTTGGTCATTGTCCCAGCTCTGCAGGGGCGGATTCCGAGCTGACCAGACAGGCTGCACTGGTTGCACAGGGTGCTGTGCATAGTGGGCCTGCTGCGTATAGTGAGCCTGCTGTATTTGAGGCACAATGTTTTCAGGTGTGGGTGTGGACAGCCAAGGAAACGCAACAGGCGTTCCGTTGATGCGGATTTCGCCAATGATATTTCCAAGCTCCGGTGTTTCATCCACGTAGCCATCCGAAAGACCCATTAACTGCGCTGCGAGCCGAGAGAAAGCAACACAGAGAGCGAAAATGGGCGTGAAAAGGGTCGACAGATGTGACCATCGCCATAGCATCGTTATAGTTACCCAGGGGAATAGCGGTGCATCGGGCTGCAAGCAATAGCCTTCGCAGCTTTCGGATATCTCAGGATGACTATACTGGTCCCACATGAGACATTCGACGATATACCACGAGAGTGAGATTATGATGAACCAGCCGAGTTTGGTTGGCCGAAGGCGCTGAGATCGCGGGCTCCGCGTCCACAATTGAGGAAGAGGTATCGCGGCGTAGACTTTTCCACCAGTGTGCGTGTCACAGCCTTTGCAGGATTCGCCTGTGTGCAGTTGTGATGACTGTGGGCTCTTCTTATTTGAAGAGCTTGCCTGCGATACAATTGCGGTATCTTGTTTAACATGATCTTCCAGGTCGTCAAGCCCTTTCTTGACTTCTTCGATATGTTTCGTTAAGGAGTTGAGCTTGACATTCAATGAATCCAAGTTGACCACGTCATTTCCTTTTGAGCTGGCGTTTTGAAGCTGGGCGAGGACAGCCTTTTCGTAAGCTTCGTCATCTTCCTCGAATTTGGGTTCACCTGGAGCATCCATAAATGCTTGAAGAGACTCGATGGTATCATCGCCGAACTCGAGATCTTTGCCCGAACTGGCATCCTCGATGACCGTCTCCAAGGCACTTTTAGGTAGATGAGGTCGCTGCAACGGGGGCCTTGACTGCTTCCTGGGAAAGGACCCAAGAAAGGTCTCTTTCTCGGTATTCTGCGCAGGCTTCGGTTCCTCGGCTTTCGATTTGACATCCGATGGTTTCGTAGGGGGTGTAATATCCTTGGGCTCAGTTGTTGTGCGTGGAGGAACAAGGTCTTTCGTCAGATCTTCGGGAAGCTCGACCTTGTCGCCCACCCGCTGGGTCATGGGAGTATCAATCCACGCGCCAGTTACCCGAGGGGTTTTGTCGTAGATTCTGTTTTCAAATAGTTTCAGCGGCTCAGGGGTTTGGACCTGATCAACTTTGGGGATTTCAGTCCTGGAAAGTTTGCGTAGTAGATCTCTAGAGTCGCGCTTGCTGGGGCTCGGTCTCGCGATTGACGAGTTCTTGAAGACTGTGATAGGGGAATTGGGGATTGGCTCGCCGCCACTAGTTGGGGGAGAGGTCAGCTTTGGATCAGACTGCGTTTCCCCGTAGTCTTGCTGTGTTGATTGCATATGTGCATTCGCGGTGCGTTCTTCAAGGGCGCTTCGGACCGGAGAATGTGGAGAGGTACGCATAGGCCTAGGGGCTTGGGCTTCTTCCATGATAGCTGGCGACCAGCGCCGACGCGCTTTCTCCTCCTCTTCTCCTTCAGAGATACTATGCTGGCTGGGTTTTCTTTCCCATGCTTGCCGGTGACCTGCCCGATGACCCCAACCAGTGGGTACATTCGGCGAAGGAACACCGTTCCTGTCAGGCTCTGGCGCATGACGATCCGCCTCGGTCTTCTCTTCCATTCGCCTTCTCAAATTATTTGCCGTTAAGGCATCCCGTCCGACCTGCGCTCTGCTGAAGACCGGCGAGCGTTGGCCTGTGACGCGCTTTAAGCGCTCTTCGTCCTTAGTATAGTCCCTGCTCTTGCGGGCTCGGTGATCGCCGAGTTCATCACTCAAATCAGCGTCGAAAAAGGGTCGTCCATTGGCGGATCCTTTGCCATTGTTTGTGTCTTTTGCTCGGGAGGACGGGGGGCGAGTTCGGCTTCCAGAGGGTGCAGTGAACTGCAGCTCCCAGTCATAGTCAGGCACGAGATCAGCCAAAGCATCGTCTTCATCAATTCGCCTATATGCATCTTCGAGTTCTTTGGGGGGAGGAGAAGTCTGGGATATGGGCGAGAACGCGTTGATCGGCTGCCGCCTCGATCGCGGGCTAGGTGATGTCACATAGTGGGATTCTTCGTTGTAAGTAGCAGGCATTTCGTGTTTTGATGCGTCTCGGTAAGCATCGGCTAGAGATCTTGGGCGAATAGCATGTCGTGGATGCGGGCCATCTTCTTGAGGGGGTGATGGGAGCTTCGCGGGTATATCGTAATGGTCGAATTTCGAGGCGCGTCGGAAAGGTGACGGCTGTCTGTCTCGCGAGACTCGATTGTTTCTATCGAATGACATGACCGAAATACCCCTTGCGATCCGCAGAGGGTTCACATGTAGAAAAGGTAGGGAAGAAAGGGGAAAGACGCGGTTCTCTGCTGTGAAGAAATAATAATGACGGAGGTAAATACTACGCTCTCATTCCCCGATGTGGTTAGCTCGCTTGAATTTCTTCCACATTACGTCGACTCCTTCAATCACTGACAATTTGTCTTCTCAATCTGTCTGCTCCTGATTTTCGCCTGAGACATTGTCAGGAGAGCATTTACCATCTCGTGATGCTCAAATGATCTTCAACCTATCTTGACATGCGACCCCTTCATTTGCCCTGTCTTCGAAAGCTTCAATAAAAGCAACAAGATCCACAATCTAACCCTTTGAATAGCTTCAACTCAGATCATATCGAACACTTTAGCGATACATATCTACCAACTGCCACTACCATGGCAAAATCAGCACGACGCTCAGGTCGCGGAAAGACCCCAACATCATCCGGAGCCTCAACACCAAGCTCCGCATCCTCAGGTCCAATCCCACCATTCACCAAAGTCCCACAAGTCTTGCAACCGTTCGTCGAACCACTCTCCACCGATGAAGTATACCTAGTTCACATCGACACCACCGCAGAGGAACTGAAGCGGCAGACTTTCACCGTACCCCTCATCGTCAACCTGGTAGTAGCTGCTGTGATTGGTCTGCGGGTGTACATGGGACTCAGTACGTACCCAGCGCTAGTGGCAACGCTGATCGGGCTCCAAAGTTCCATGACCGTGGACACGGCAGCAACCCCGTGGACAGAATCGATAGCAATCATCCTACGCCGGACTGGAACGATATGCATCGACTACTTCCTCGTGACCCTTCTTTGGTCATGGCCTGTTAATTTTGTCAGAGGGCCCGTGCGCTGGCGTCGCGCCATCGGTTTCCGCGAGCGAGAGATTATCGTTCGCCGCAGTAACCGCAGTTGGAGCAAGGATCTCGAGCGCAACAGGTGGATCCGCGAAGACGAGGCGCGTCGGGATAAAATCGTTGCCGCTGTGACTCCCGAGCGAATCGGCAAGACTGGTTACTTGCTCGTGGACGAGGATTGGAATTTAGACTATGCGGCTATGGTCCGCGCTCATGCTCTTGTTGATCGCACTCGCAGAGGTGACGGTATACAGATGGATGAATTCCGCACTGCCGTGCTGGTTCACACTGATTCTGACGGTTGGCTGATTTGGCGTGTTGGGGATGATAATACACCCGCTGGCGAGAAGAAATCAGCTCAGCGCGACCAAATTCTTGCCTTCAAGGAGAAGTTGGCGGAGATGGGCAAGGAGGATTTGTTCCTCCGTTGGGTCGAGCTAATCCAATGGGAGAGCTCCCAACCCGGTGGCTTCACTGCGGACCGGCAACGGTCTGCGATGCTGCAAGCTAAGCAAATGTTCGAAGATGAGAACGTGGATTTCAGTCAGTTCTGGGACGACATGGGCGGCATGGAAGGCGAAGGATTAGACTAGCGATTTATCATTTCATAATCATAATCACATCCCTTTTACATTTCACTCAACCTAGCCTTACTCGCCAGTTGGTCTCTATACTTATGGTGTTTTGAGGTATGTTTCATAAGGCTCGATCGGCACCTTATGCCCTACACCACTTCAGTAGATCGATATATTCAAGGGTAGATTGCATTGTTGGGTATCTGGACTGAATCAAAGTCAAAAAGCAAATGGAACATGTATCAAGCGCCGAATGGCACGTAATCCGCTGGAAACACTGAGGAACAAACCCCCCCCAAAAAAGCAAATAAGCAAATAAGCAAAAAGCACAATGCAACGCCACTAGTGCGCCAGGGCTTGTGGAAAAACAGTCTATGGTGTGCTACTCTCGAGCCGATAGTCAAGAGACCACAATTTCTCCCACGGGCGAGATCGGCCATTGTGCCGACGATCGCGAGAGGGAGAAGAAGTGGTGTTACTTATATTTGGTTGAGCCGGTGCAGCGAGGGGACCCTAAGCAAGAGAAAACCATTAGCAACTGATACCATATGATGTAAAAACAGACCCGGAAAAGACGGAAAATAAACAAGTCAATCCCTACTTTTCACGGGCCGGAGAGCAGGTCACGGCGAACCTCGTCGAATATCGGAGCAGTCTCCCGAGACTGCGAGCCGGCATCAGCTTCGGCCGGGCGCACAAGATCAGTCGTTGATTCGACAGCATGCTGCGACGGCGTCGGGGTGCCACGCTTGGAATTTGCGCTCTCGCGGCGGCTGTCAAGACTCCTAGACAGGGTCTTGGCAATGGCGCCCTCGTCCGTACCACGTTTGAGGCGGATACTACCCTTGGCATCGACGTGCGCCGATGCGACTGTGCTCTTTGCTATGCCCGGTGTGGCAGGCGCACCGGGCTTCTCTTCTACGGCATCGAGGAGGTACCAACGGAGGCCGTCTGAAAGCTCGAATGGATTCTCATCCTCTAGAGAGGCACCATCGCTGATGGCCCCGATGGAGCGACGGTCTGATGCAGCGCCGTTCATCGACTTGGAAAGGTCTACCACTCGTTCTTCGATCCTGGTAATGCGGGCGAGAAGCCAGTCCCGAGTTTGAAGTTTGTGTGAATCCTGCTCGCGGAGGAAATAGTGTGGCGCGCCCACGTTGAAGGCGGCCCAGGAGCGAATGGCCTGGTTCCGCGTGGGGAGGAAGAGAGCAAGATCGCCTTCTTTGAAGGATTTGTAGGCAATTTTTTCATGAGCCTCGCTTTGAACTCGGTGGTATTTTTCACGATAGCCTCGGGCTTCCTTTTGCCATTTGCGGGCGAGGATTTCGATGTCCTTGACGCGTTTGACAACAACATCGCCAAATAGGGACACGTCGAACTGAGCTAGACTTTCCATGAAAGCCGAGAATTTGGTATCTTCATCCTCCAGGCTTTCGGCTTGCATCCAGCTCAGAAGCGTTGTATCCGGCTTTAGGGATACAATAGCTGACTGGGCGAGGCTTTCGCCCAGACCCAGCGAAGCGCTGAGCTTTGAAGCACGCTGGACAAGGAGCTGACCGTCTTGCTGAATGATGGTGAAGCCCAACTGCTCCAGCATCCGACCAAGCTTCTCAACCTGTGTAAAGAGTTGGTTTGAAAGCTCGAGGGACTTGATACCCCGAGCTTCGAGCTGTGCCACCGCCTGCTCCTCGGTTTCCGACGTGATTCCTGCCTTTCTCTCCCATTCCGCGGCCTGGTCTTTCAAGTCTCGAGCTTGACTCTCAGCTTCAGCCAGTTGCCGTGACAGCTCCGCCTGTTTCCGTTCCTCTTCGGCGATCTGTTCACGCAGCGCGTCTGAGCCACTCTCGCCGGCAGTCATTTGAGAGTGCAAGGAATCGAACTTAGATCGCTCTTTGTCCAGTTCACCTGTCAAGTCCTCTGACTTTGATCGCTCGCGTGAGAGCTCTGCAGTTAATTGCGATAGTTCGGCCTCGCATTCATCGATCCTCTTTGTCCGCTCTTCTCCTTCCGCCTCAAATTTCGCAATTTGTTCTTCAAGGGCCTTTTTCTCCGCCATTGCCTGAGATGCATTCGATTCCGCGCTCTTGGCGTGGATTGATAACCCTTCCGAAAGAACCTCAATGGCTTTGATTATATCAGGAAGTTCGACCGGCACAATTCCCCCGGGCGAGAGGTTCATGAAGATGGCCTGGAGGTCTTGGTGGCTCTCCTGGTGCTTTTGCTGGGCCTCCGCCTGTCGGCGCTCGAGATCATCAACCTTAGCCTGGAGGCTTTCTTCTCGCTCTTGTCCAGTCTTAATCTGCGCATTGAGATCAACGATTCTCTGTGCATCTTCAGCGGAATTGGCTTGAGCGTTATGGAGGTCGACTTCAAGCTGGCGCATCCGATCGTCAATATCTTGTCTCCCATGATCCCTGCTATCCAATAGTCGATCAAGCTCTTCTTCCATTTCCTCGGTACGGAGTCTGAACTTCTTAAGCTCCGAGTCCAGGTATCGGCGCTCATCTTCGAATTCGCGTTGGCGCGCTTCAAGGTTGCCTATGAGGTCCTTTTTGGTGGACTGCGCTTCTTGGAACTTGTCAGAGTGAGTCTGCCGCTCTGCGTGGGCTTCCTTATGGAGTCGCTGGACTACATCTCTCTCGGCCGCTAGCTCTGCTTCAAGCGTAACAATACGCTGAATGAGTGCCTTATCCTCGGGGGACTGAGTCGCTGAGACTCGCCTGGAAGAGACGGATGACCGTCTCGAGAGTGCATCAGGGTGTGCAGATGAAGGTGAACCGGGGAAGTCTGGACCGAAATTGCCGCTCGTTGGCCGGCTGAGGTGACTCTGACGGTGCAAAAGGTCTTCCAATTTCCGGACGCGACTGTCTGACCCCTTGAGCCTTTCTTCTAACTTTGTTTTTTCTTCTTGTAAGCTACGAACGGAGTCATCGGCGCGTAATATAGAACTCCGGCTCAAATCAAATACGCTGCCTTGTTTGAAGGCTTTGGCCCGTCGTCGTTGCTGCCGGGTGGGTGCATCCAGCTCCTTGAGTTGCTGGGTGAGCTCATCCGCTAAGTTGGTCAAGGAATGAGTGTTCTTTAAATCATCGATGTAATACTCGATCTCTTTCCGGGCTACTTCAGGCCATTTGTCATCCTGACCTTGGAGGTTGACTTCGATTCCCGGTGGAGTGGAATCAGTCACAGTCATGAAATCTCCCATGTTTTTTAACCATTTTTTTCTGCGGCGTTGCTCCTCATCTCTCAAAACTGCCATCTCCTCGGCCAGCGTCAGGGAATCAGTCTTGATCTTATCGCTCCATTCTCGCCGCCGGACGGATTCGATAAGAATGGACCCGTAAATCATTGGCATTTGGAAGACAGAATAGATCACTTCAAAGGCATTGCTCCCCACGTCTAGATTTACCATTCGTGCATGGGCGTCAGCAAGTCTAGACTCAAGAGAGGATATCGTGCGCATATGCTCAATGGCCGTTTTTGCCACGGTCAACCGGCGCTGCACAGCTTGCTCGAGGGCAGCTTGAAGCTCAACGCTGGTCTCCGCCAGCGATGGAAGAAGATCTTGAGTATGGCTAAATGCAAGTCTCGATATATTGGCCAGCGTTTTCTGGTTGTTCGGTAGACTTAGAACATGCTCATAATCAGATCTGATCTTCTTCGCAATAGTCTCAACTTCTTCCAGCAACCCATCCACCTCGTCAAAATTTGAGGCAAGAGCTTCGTCCACCAGATGTTGAGTGTCCGAGGCGATGTCACTGACTGTCTTCTCAATGTCATGGACAATGCCAGCAAATGCTGGCGACACAGTCGCTGCCTCTGATCCAGCCCGTTGAACTTCGCCTATGTCGACAAAGTCACGCAGCGTTCCGGTTGGTCGGTCCTTGTCCATTTTGGGGGTGGACGGGCGTCCAAGAAGAGGGAAATCTTTACGTGCTGGGATATGGTCCAGTGTGGAAAGAGCTCGTTGCCAACCATCTAACGCAGCCCGCTGCTCTTCTAAGACGCCATTCGCCCACGATTGTGCCTCTTGGAACCGATGCTCTAGGTTACCCACATGGGACTTAAGATTCTCCAGAGCCACGCCCACCGCGCGGTTCATAACATCGGTTCGCTCGTTATGCTCTCGGATGTCCTTATCGATCGACCCACAACGGCTGGACAACTCCAGTGCCCAGTTGCGCCGTGCCATATAGAGGTTCCGCCATGCCTGAAGGTCGTTCTGGTCTTTGAGGGTAGCTGGGGGGCTACCGGGTTGGAATGGTTCAGGGGGATGGAGTTCCGGGAATTCGACATCGCCTGGTTCACTGACGTATTGTCGATCGTATACAAAGATTTCGTTCTGCATTGGTTGCTACAAGTTAGCATATCTCCAGATCATGACTCATAGTTATCATATCGCACCTCAGTAGCGAGAGTTTGGATCTTAACATTCTTGCCCCGGGCGTTCATCAATATTTGCCGTGGGGGTGGAATAGATGCATTGCGAACGACCCATGACTTCAAAGCATCGGGACTAGAGACATTGGACCGGTGTCAGCTGGAGTTCGGATAGTTCCATTGGAGCATCAATAAACAGATTATAGGCATCATCAAATAGAGATAGTGGAGACGTACGAGGCAAATGCCACTGGATCAACCAGAAAATGCTCCCCAGTGTGAGCAATGTAGATGTGCAACGACATCACCTCCGCACCAGGCGAGCTTAGATGCTCAGTAAGAGTGAAAAGTGAGAGATATTTCCCAAAGAAGAAGATACATATAAAGAGAAAGAAAAAAGAATGAGAGTCCCAAAGCCCCCAGTCAGGCTCAGGACGATGAAGGTTGCTCCGCGACCTCATGTGGCCGGGGAAGCTCGCCCACCGCCTCCGGTCTTATCTTCAGATCACCAGATACGCCTGCGTTCACGGGATCTACGTCCATGGCTGCAAAACATGGCCAGTCACTGCCTCACCTGCAATCTGGTGAGGTGACACTGCTAGACTACTCTGCAGATGACTCTCGCGATGTTGTGACTCTGTCGGATAAAGAGACCTTGGTCTTACAGCTCTACAACCAGGTCCAGGAACAAGAGCTAGAAAAGGCATTTCTCGAGCAAGGTACGCCTGATAGAACTTTCGCTCTGCTTTTTTCCGATATTTGTTCTTTTTGTTTGTACCTTGGTACTAATAGCTTTCATCCTTTTAGAAGTGGAATCATGTTCGGGCGCAGATCCTAAAGAACAGCTTGCAATTGCGGAACGTGAGCTCTTAGAGGCACGATCTACTTACACTGTCAGGAGGAAGGCTATTCTCACCATCCTCATGACAGAGCCAATTCTCAAAGCTGTTCACCTGAAGGCTGCCACACCTGCTGAGAGGTATGTACTCACAAAAGACCCTTAAGCTAGACCAAAGTCTGATAGAGACATACAGATCCCTACTTTATCTGGTGAATCGTCGCGATGTGCTTGCACTTGCACATGAAAATCTTGCGTCAGCACATGACTTGGTGATGAGACAGCTCTCATCTCTGGAGATTAAGAATCTACAAATCAATCGAGAAAACCAGGAACTGGTGCGCCAGCTATTAGAGCTCACGAAAGAAGATTCGTCATGGAGGGAGAAGCTTGAAGATCCTGCGCTGTCATCACAACTGGCCAGTTTTGAAACAGATTTCAAGGCGCGCAAAGCTCAGTGGGAAACTATGAAGTGTATCGCAAGTGCGGTAGTTGTTGGTAGTGGACTAAATTGGGCCGATGACGACATGCTGCGCGCGTTGGTGCTGGATGAAAGTGATGACTGATGTTTTTCTTTTGACGTGGACGCGTCCCTGTTTTTTTTTTTTTTTTACGATTGTCGTATACTTAGGAGCATAGGCGCTGTACAATAATAATACCCATCTGGATCATTCGATTTTCATTCCTCAGGGGTGAAAAAGAGAATGGTAATTTAAAACCGAATAATGTGGACTGGATAAGAATCATTACGGAGTACACTGTGTTGAGTACTCCAATAATGACGAGTATACACAGCGGTGTACAATATACATAGACTATCGCGTAGAAGTAAGGGTTCTATGCTCGGATAAATGCATGACCAGCTTTTCTGAGAGAGACCTATTATTTTCCACACAAAGTCTATGGGTTCCTGTCGGAAGGCGTGGAACTGTATGGAGTACATTAAGTTACAGGTGGATTAACCATACACTCACTGTAGTACTGTAGTACTGTAGTACTGTAGTATCAACGGTATGTGTCCGTAAAAAAAAAGGGAATTTGCTGAGGAAACACCGGAACGTGGTCTATGCGTTTTCATGGATTTCACAATCTCTACTCCGTACGGTGTACGGACTTTTGCTCTTGATCTGTCAATCTGTTAAAGCTATGTTTTGATCTACCAAGTCTGTCCATCTCTGTAAGATAAATGAGCCATTTGAGCGACTTCAGGGGGTAGGAGCATATTAGATCGAATATCCCTTCCAAGGTTCGACTGTCTACTTAGGTTGTAGAAGACGTCCATGCTGCCCAGGTGGATTTAGCTTGTGATGATGGTGTGATCCAGCTCTGTAAGGAAGGAGTGTAAGATCATCTATCCATAATTATTATAAGCTGTTCCATACTGTTTCATTGGGTGTGGATAATCCTAGGGCTAAGAAAACAGGATATCTTTTGTGCCATAGTCATGCTTCTTACTCTACAGGGTACTCTGTACGGAGTAGACATAGAACCTTTCTCGACAGAGTCAATGCCAATGCTCCCCCATGTAAATTGTGAGGTACCTACCCAGCCGTGTTTCCAATTGGGGTTACGTTCAAAAGGGTACGCCACGCTTATGATTGAGCAATCACCCACCCTTGCCTGAAGGATAGTTCAATACTGACACTGTTATATACACCTCACGCTCTGTGGCCAAATTAGGGTTTGCACTATTACACAGAATACTGGACCAAATGATACTGTCAATATTTGAACCCCAAGAGCTTAAGTGGACCTTAATTTTTGGATTATTTTAGAGAGGGAATATTGCTACCAATGATACTGATCTGGGACCTGTTTTCAGTGTTTCTAAAAAGGTATTTCCTACGGAGTACATGTTCAATATGTACCTACACATGACCTTCTCGCGACCAAAGCCACTATACGCTATTCTTTATAGAAGCAAGTTCATCATATGAAACGTCCGTACAAAGAACCCCGTCCCAACCTGAGTACATTATGAAATGCTTGATTTGTTATTTCTACCTCCATCCGTAAGTCTCTTAGAAGGCGATTTTTGCCCCGAGATTTCACAATACATCGTAGCCTACCTAGCGCAAGTGTAGGATAGAAGGGTAGCGTTGCCTATCGCATTTTTCAATGAGGATATATCGCCAGATATCTTACATCCATAGATACAGGCCATATCAATTCAATGGCAAACACCATGGTATTGGCGGTACGAAGTACTTGCCGAGCAGACAGTTTTCGTATGATGTTACCGTGTACTGTGTACCTGTACGTTTGCGCGGTTTATTAATATGACGGAGCGCAATCCACAAGTCCCAGCCGGAATGGTCTCGTTTCATCACGTATTAAATCTTCCAACTCATTCAATGAAGACTTTGCTTTGAAAATAGTACGAATATGGATGGATCTATCAATTGTCAACGATCTAAATGGAATTTCTCCAGATCCATTGAGAAAATAAGACGTACATTCGGAGCAATTGACGAAAAATAGTGTGGACAATGGTAAATTACGAATACCATTGAAATCAGTACTGTACCGCCATTCCCTGCCCCCCTCTCTTTGCTACTACTACGGCCCTCCCCCTCTACTCTTCTCTTCTCTTACTATCTTCCTACACTACCATTTTCCCCCATACAAACTTGCTCCCATACAAAAGGTACTGCATATCAACTCCGAGTTCTATATATCCATCACTTCTGAGCATTTCCTCCACCACCACATTTCCCCCTTTTTTTTCCTAATTCTTTTGGTCCTTGGAATCCTTTATTTTCACCTCATTGACTGTCTTTTTTTTTTCCCATTTGCGCCGACCTTGCGGTCGCGCGCATCTCAAATCGATGTTTTTGTCCACTTAACTAACTTGAACCCCCTATAGTTCTTTTTCTACCACATATTCTAATTCGTGATCTTCGAATTCAGGTGAGTTGGTCCTATCCCTATCATCTCAAAGCTTTGTTTTCCCTCGGTCGCAAGTGGTTGATTGCGCGCAACGCGTCCAGCAAACACTCGCGTCCGCCCTTCTCCTCTCACCTACACCCCGATTTATTTAAATTTCATGTCAATTGCGCATACGTACCTTCACTCAACCCAATTACCTCCTTCATTTCTCCCACGATACATCGATTGTGGCAACACTTCCCAGAAATCGTCTCTAACGTCCAACAGTCATCATGCCTAAGGATAGCGCCACCAAGTCCACCCGCAAGGCTCCCGAGAAGCGCGTCCAGCGCCGCAAGAAGGGTAAGTCGACAAGTAAGCTACTTTTTCATCGGTGTGTACTAATATCCTCTCTAGACCCCAACGCCCCTAAGCGTGGTCTGTCCGCTTACATGTTCTTCGCCAATGACAACCGCGACAAGGTTCGCGAGGAGAACCCCGGCATCAGCTTCGGTCAGTGAATTGACTACCCAGCTCCATTGTACATACGCTAACCCCCCTTGCAGGCCAGGTTGGCAAGCAGCTCGGTGACAAGTGGAAGGCTCTGAGCGAGACCGACCGCAAGCCATACGATGCCAAGGCTGCCGCTGACAAGAAGCGCTACGAAGAGGAGAAGGCCGCCTACCTCGCCAAGGCTGATGATGATGAAGAGGAGGAATCCTCCTAAATTGCCCTCTAGCTTCACTTCGTCTTTTACCTCTGGGCGTTTGTGTTTCTCTAATGGTTCTCCTGCTTTTTTTTCGGACGGTTTCTTGCACGGTTTCTGGGTTTGGAGGACGGGTGGGGTTTACTTGCTTCTGAACTGTTCCTCTTTGCTCTTAGGATATTAAGTTATCAATGGGAAATCTCAACCTTTTAAACCAAGTCTTCTAAGTAGCTTGAAATATCGTAAACAGCAAGCAAACATTGAGCCCCCTTGCTTGGATGATACACAGGCAAGTTTCAATCTGTTGTGTGAACAATCTGTTGTGTGAGGAATCATCCGTACCATCTTCAGATTGACCTCACTTCAGCTCTGATTGTTGGGTGCCAAGCCTCGGGGAAGCTTCGGAGAGCTCTCAGCTACCGAGCTTTTTTGCCCCGCAAAATTGGGGGCTCACCGCTTGCGTCATTCACCGCCCCAATAATCCGGGGTCGAAGCTCGAAGCTTCCAAGCTTAACCTTGAGTCTGTAAGAAGCCTATATGTTGTTTCACCAGTCATCCGCTGACCATCGCCTTATCATTAGAGAGTCCAAATTCAGATGAAAGCGGGAGTGAATAAAGCAACAGAAGAGTCACCGGGGTCAATTCACAAGGCGTTATCGAAACAAGGCGTTATCGAAGACGATGTACTAGGAACCTTCAGCTACCTGGAGCCTAGGGTTCAGAAAGACCACGAGCATGGACTCTCAATCTCTTGCTCTCGGGTTGCAGAGTCTAGGTGGCTGGGATTAGGGCTAGCGCAAGTGCACGCGCGCAGGACACGGTTATGCAGCGGCACAATTTGACGACATAATCATGATGTGATGATAAGTGGTTGTTTGACAATACGTTACGGGGAGTATGATGGGCTGGGTGATTATTATACGGGGCGCTCCCAATTGGAGCTCATGATGAGACGGGAAGACGGCAGGGCGACAATACGATGATACGACTTCACGATACGTTACGAGGACGACGACATGCAGAGTGATTATACACGACCTTGAAAGTTGGGACTCACAATAGAATGGAAAAATAACATTGCGATAATACGATACGGTTTTACCACAACACTGGGCTTACGAGGGAACAGCATATGGTGGGTGATTTGGAAGTCAAAGCACACTCTGGTAAATGCACAAGCTCTAACAACCTTTTCACAGACGCCGAGTGAGCATTCTACATCAAAGTTGACAGCTCAATGCTTGGCGCTTGATAAAGCCTTGAGCAGGGGCTATCATAGTTGCATATATGTCCGAGCAGTCTCACTTCGGGCCAATGCTAACATTGATATGCCGGCGGATTTCCGATGCCTTCATTGTGGACATGCCATAGTGCACCATGCCACACCACTGTGGTGGGAAAAAAGCCTACATGCACCAGTCAATAAAATGCTCCAGCGTTGGGTCTTGTTGGGTCTATGCACCTAACGTCCTTATGGAAACTGACACAATCTGACTCAAGCGGCTATACAAAATACACACTGTTTCCGTGGACGTGTTCAGTTCAAGGTCTTGTCATGTTGGCGTAGTTACTCCGGTCATGCTTCAAACCTCTCCGATCCAATCTTGCGCAACGCTTGAAGATAGCAAAGCCTGGGATTTCCCAGGTCAAACAGATTGTATGAGACCGTACCTCCAGGCACATCGAACGATCCACGGGATGGATTTGTTGGATCTTACACTTTGTCGAATGGGTTTTCTCCAAAGCATCGCGATTTATTAAGCAGTTTCAGTTACAGTTAGTAGATCCGATATCAATCAACTCTGTCGAAAAGGTCTAATCAGCCCAGTGCAACGAGAAAAGTGCAATATCCGCACATTAGTGTAAATTGCTGGCCAGTACTGAGTGCTGGTGACCTTTCGATATTCTAGAATTATGCGGGGTGTACGTATCTTTCGAGACTCGACCTCGTTGTATAGCGTGGTTTCCATAGTGACACTTTTGGCCCCAAACAGCCCAAATGATCTAATTTAGCTCATTCACGCGAGTTATGTGAAGATTAACGTTCTAGGTCGTTCTATGGTCAAGCTTTGCATATGCATGGCATACTAGTCAACCAACTGTTCCGTATTTCTCCAGGGCTCTATTATACGGAATGCATAATGTATTGCTACACAAATGCAATGCAACCGCTAGCAGAGATCCGTGGCCTTAGATCTTATGATTCAGAGCTAACCTGATCGGATTCCTGAACATTATATCTGATGTAGTGGAGTTCAGTAATAAAGAATTGGCGGTAGACAATCTATACCCTATTGCACACCCTTAGGTTACTATGTAAGTATCTGCTCTTCGACACTTGACTTCGGGTTATGGAGTATAAGAAGACCGAAAAGGGTCACAGTAAACCCCTTTATTACAAATACCTGATTATTACGATCGAAAACCGGTGCTTCAATTAATCCACCATACTAATAACGAATTTCCCTTTTTACTGCGAATTTCGTTTCTTCATCAATCCTACCATACTAAATTCGCTATATCCAGGTCTTGCTCATCACCTTTTATCCAATCAGAATGCCTCGCCGCGCTGTCCCTACCCCCGAAAGCTCGCTCTCCGAGAGTAGCGTCGAAACAATATTCTACTATCCAATAAATAGCCTAGATACTAGTAGTAGTGATATCATCAGAAGTTATATATAGAAAAGTCGCTTACATAGAGTATGCTTTTTCCTCCTTTTTCTATTGTCTTAAATAGACTGGAAAGGGAAACACTATTTTAAAAAATATCTAAGGAAAAATAGGAAGCCCACTAAGAAAGCCATTAGAAAGACTACTGAAAAGCCCTATAAGAAAGATATAATAAGGCTGTAGAAGCGGCTATCTACACTTATATGTCTTGAATAGATAGAGATCTAATAGCTTATTAATAATATATCTTCTAATATGTATATAATATAGGCTTAGATTCCAAACCTAATAGATATTGAGATTCTTAAACCTAGTGGATGAACTTATTAAGAATGATTTAGTTACTGTTGATAACGTTGGACTTTATAAATTCCTTCCGGAGGTTAACGAGGATAAAAGTGAGGTTTAAAAGGCACAGATTTTGTGCAATAAAGCTATTTAGGCTCTAAAACCCCTATATTTATATAAAGTGTAGCAGTATCAAGGTGAAACCTATTTAATCGACGCTATTTATAGATATAAAAGGATACTGGAGGTCAGGAGAATGGGGGAGCAAAAGTAGAGGGGCATCAGAAGCTATTTTGGAGCGTAAATCTGTATGTAAACCAGATATATATATATACAACATGGGGTCCTGGATTTAAGGATTATATGGCCCTGTCTCAATTGATTCGTTATAACTGGGGTTTACTGTACATTTATTTGGAGACGAAATCAAGGCAACATCGAAATTAATCAAAGTAGTATTTGCTTTCCATTACTCTCGATTTTATAGTCCCTTCGAATGAAGTTGTCTAATCTCAGGCAATGTATATTCTTCACTGTTATATACCAAATCTAGGAACCATGATTCTACGCTGTATCTCTGTGCATCCCCAAACGCTTGGTATAGTACTATGATTGGTCTGAGGATGAAACTGATGAGATCCCCACATTTAGGGCTGGGAAAGACCCTGTGAACCATGGAATCTGGGTCGAGGCTGATAAGCTTCGATGTATACCTTAAATTACTCTTCAATATATCCTCAAGTTCACCTATCTTAAAAAAAAAAATTGAACGGACAATGCCGGAAATAGTGCTCCACCAAGCCCCGCCATTCGCGCGTGAACACGTCAGGTCTTGGAAGCAAGGGAGAACCTTGTCAAGAGCCTCATGGGGATTTTTTTCTCTCTTTTTTTGTCTCTATTTTTCTTTTTTTCTTCTTTCTTTTTTTATTGTTAAATAATCTTAATTGTCTGCATGTGAGCCTATTGGCTTTGTAATTTTTCCCTGCCCCTCCCCTTCCTCCCCACCATACATTCCCCTCCCAAAACGTCCCTCTTATGGCTTAACGCCGTGGACTCTAAGATGGCTCAGGCTCTGCGCGCATCTCGTGAGAGCGCCGACGACGTGGCAACTGGCCTTTATGCATTTCGAACCCCCTTCCAGAACATGTGGGCGAGATCACATCGCTCATGTCCGAGTTATACGCAATTAGCGCATTGTTATCCAGCTTGGAACATATAGCCGAAGATCCCCGAAATCGCCGTTGCTTTAATATGATCAAACCCGATCTGAACGTGGTGCAAGCCAGTTACACATATACAATCGAGGACATCGGCGATATTTTCAGAGAGCTCGATGGCGGAGATGTTAGTCCAGCCAGGTACAAGCGAACATGGCTGAATATGAACCGGTTCTTTTGGGACCAATCGCAGTATACCCTGGCCACCCGCCTAGCCAAGTATAAGACGGTCTTTAAAGAGTTCTGCGACTTGGTAAAGAAGTAGGTGCTCCACAAGAACCAGTAGAGAGAAGAAAAGCGCATGTGTATGCTCATCCATGCTCTTTATTAGTGGTCAATATACTTCCCCGCTCCTTGCAGGCCTTGTCAATGGATTCAAGACTCTACTGTCTACACAAGATAGTCGGTTTGCTGCTCGCTTCGAAGGCATGACGCTCCGTCCCGATGATTCACCCTCCGGCAACCGCGCGAGCTCTCGTCACCGTTCCCGTCCCACCACCCCGGTGAGAGACCCTCCGGCAAGGGACCGCCCGACGAGGGACCGCCCGACGAGGGACCGCCCGACGAGGGACCAGCCAGGGAGGGACCGCCCATTAAGGGACCACCCAACGAGGAACCACCCAGTGAGAGATCACCCGCTGAGGGACCACCCGGTAAGAAATAGCCCGGTGAGTGACCGGAATGCACGGCGGCGGAGGTCATACGAGCGCACTCGACCGCCGCATCTGTCTCCACCAATGTCGCCTTCCTCCGGCACTTCTTCGGAGTTCCCACCGTCTGTACCGGAAATCCCTACCTCGCCGCACACTTCTACTACTAGCCGCTCGAGTGCCCCTGATGTTATCAAAGAACATTGGGCTAAGGAAACATTCGGGTCCAATAGTACCAGCACCCCTCTGCCATCCGTAAGAGAAAGGTAAACTATCGATAACCCGGATTCATTTTCGGAATTTTGCTAACATGTTCGACACAGGTCGTACTGCCGCGGAGAACCCCAGCTAGGCATTAAACAGTGGATTAAAGACGAGGGCTTCGAGGAGCTCCTCCAATTGTAAGTCGAGAGTACTTACTGCTTTCGGGTAATTATTTAACGCGGTATAGATCCCTAAACGATGAGTCTGATATGCGCGTGTCCTTCTACCTAAGAAGACTAGACCACCGCGTCCGCATCCTCTGCAGGGAGCCCCACCGCACAAGGCCTAGTGATTACTACTGCTTGCCGCTTAATTTACTTGAGATACTGCGAGACGGCTCTTGTCTCCGATTGTGCAGGCGGAAGCACGGGACACAGCTTATTTTATGGACGCAATTGAAGTTCACCACATTGGAAGGTTGGCAATGTCTATTCGGAATCTGTTTTTGCCAAGGTGATGATGCTCACATAATTATACAGATATGGTGCTGTTCCATAACACATTTCTTGCCTTGCGCTCCCAGGATGCAGGCCACGTCATTGGAGAAATTATAGACCACGAGCTGGACCATGAAGATGAGATTTATGCAGCGTGAGTATTCCATACAAGAGGGGATCAATGTATGGATACTGATATATTCCAGTACAATCACCGATGATGACTATGTGCACGCACTGCGCGTATACAAAGACTTGGTGACTGGGGCCGTGCGACTCCAAGCATCGGTCTACCTGGGGGAGATGAAACAGTATGCCAAGCACAATCTCACGTTTCAAACGTTACATTCTAATAATGAAAACAGCACACCTGTCTGGACTGCTTTCGTCACCCACAACCTTGGGAAGCGCAGTTGGCTTAAGTCATACGATTCCAGAACGGTGATTGTGCGTGATATCAAGCCTGTGGTATTTATATCTATGGACGATTATACATCCCCGCAAACTCCACAGGGACATCATGTCTTGGAGTTCGAAAGGTCTTCTGGTAATTTGGACCTAAGGAACCCGATTTCGAGCATTGCTGACTTGGTTTGACTTTTTAGATGCCAGGATGTTTCTGGAAATTATGGATGAACTGAGCGAGTGAGCTATACTGGGGATTGTGGTGGGACTTGCGGGTTTATAATTGAAATCTCTGTTCTGACATGATGAGTTATGACTTATGTTGATATGACTGTGATGATTCAAGATTTCAAAAGACGTGGCTAGTACTTTCAACTGTTAATTCTGCTCGCTGCATGTGCACAATGGACTGTCCTCCCCCTCGTGCCAGCACATTTGGATACCAGCACGATTGACTCCAGATCTAGTATATTTTTGCCCTAGCTTAAGCGCTCCGTGGTCTTTTGATATAGCAATAAACGAGCTTACCGCTGGAGAATCATTCTACTTCTCGTACGCCGGGTTCTATCAAAGCAACTAGGCTTGACTTATCAATGTAAAGCACACTGCCTTCTGAGGTCCTTGGACCCGTTCGAATACAGACACAGAAAATAAGCTCAATGAAATCCATTTGCAAGTTAGCTAATGAAGGGGTATCACACAAACAAAAAGCAAAATTTAGAAAGTATATTGTCAATCGAGGCGCGGGCAGCGATGGAAAAGTGACGGGGGATTGCTTGGCCACCGCGAAACACCATTGAGGAAAACTAGGAGACCTCCTTGTCCTTGTCCGTTGCAGAATCGGCGACATCGTCTGGTTCAGGATAGACCATAGCCATATATCGTCGCCATAGTGGGCAGTGAGTTGTGTCATATGGTGGGTCTGATGGATCATACAACCATTTTCTGGGCGGTTGTTTAGGTGGAGGCGTTTCTGGTTTAGGTGGGTTGCGTTCAGCTTCAAGATCCTCTTGCCGCCATCTCTCCTCGTTCTCCTTCATAATTCTCCGGATCTTGTTGCATCTCCACTCTGAATGAGCCTTGCGCTCAGCCATCTGTTCTTCGAGGGTTTTCCGCTTGAGTATAGTCTCCTCTCGCAGGACTTGGAGTTCTTCCATCTGCTGCTTACGCTCCTCCTCGTCGGTGGAAAAGCTGTAGAACCCAGTTCCACGATTTCGAACCTCTTCTTCAGCATCGTAATGCTTCTTCTCTGGTGGGGTAGGCGAGCGGTCACGACGAGCAGCAAGATGGGACATGTGCGATGCAATCTTAGCATCGGGATTAAACGCTTCAGTTTGCACGGCCTCTCCGTAAATCAAATTTTCAGGACGAGCAGGGCGCCAGCGTTCCTGGGCAGCTTTGCCACCTGCCTCCTCCTCCTTGGCGCGAGAAGCTTCCGCTGCTTCGGCTCGAGTGCCACGGCGAGAACGGCCAAATTCGTCTTCATAGGAAACAATAGATGCGTTGTCATCGTCGGACTCATCTGGCTTGAACGCCTCCTCGTTTGCGTGCTTCAGATCGAAGTCAACCAGTACATCTTTTTCCTTGCGTCGGAGTCGGGCCAGGTAGGCGTCCGGATCGGATGGATCAATGGGCATGTCATCATCATCACTGTCGGCAGCAAGATGCAGTCCTTTCTTCATATCATCGTAAAGGCGCGCTTTTTCCTGCATGCGACGTCGAGACCGGCTGAGTGTGTTTGCGTCGACTGAGCCAATGTCCTGGGTGCTCCTGTGGACTTGCTTGAGGGCCCTATTGTCGTCTGCTAGATCGGCAGCTGCGCGCTTCTGGGTGCCTTTGTTGTGCTTTGAGAAGAGATCTGCCTTTGGATTCTTGGAGGGACGGTGGCGCCCACGCGACGAACCAGTGGTCGCATCTTGAGCGATGAGTGAAGAGAGCTGAGAGGTGAAGGCAAGGCTTGAGGTATTCTGTTCAGTTTTGTTCTTTTTTAAACGTGGTTGCCCATAGAGGGAGTCTTGGTCCGCAGGCATGACGATGTGAAGGGTATGTGTCGTGTAATATCAAGAAGGAAGAAGCAAGTTTCACGGATGTTCTACGTCCTACAATGCCACTGGCTTATCGATAAGCCCAATAATCTACACCGCCAAGCTTTGAGCGTCTTTTTCTGCCCGTCCTTGATGACTAAGGCCGATGTTCGGGGCAGCCCCGCGCCCCCACTACTCAGGTGAATCGATCGCGTCGTGACTCAATTGACTGTTCTTTTTAGTTTTGATCTGATATTGAACTCTTTGCTGAGAATCAGAAAGCAAGACTAATCGAAATAATCAAGAAAAATCCTCCAATCAGCATTATGTCGGCTAGCCCTATCTACCTCGGTGTCATTGGTAAGTGTACCTTACCTCACTACTGAGCTCTGAATATCCTAATCAATTGAGTACTAACAATTTGACGAACTAGGCGTTGGAGGCGTTGGTACTGCCTTCCTCCAGCAGCTTGCCCGTCTTCCCAATGCGCCCCAGCTTGTCGTCCTTGCCCGTTCCTCCCAAACCCTCCTTGCTCAGACTCCCACCTATTCGCCGGCCATCCCTGCTGCTGACTGGGCCACAGCTTCTGCTGCACCCTCTCTGACAAAGACCGGTGCCCTTAAGGCCGAAGAAATTGCCACATATCTCGCCGCAGCCCCTGGCCGAGCCATTCTGGTCGATAACACTTCGGACATTAGCCTCGCCCGGCAATACCCCACATTCCTCAAGAAGGGCATCTCAGTGGTGACTCCCAACAAGAAGGGATTCTCTGATGATATCTCCCTGTGGAAGGATATTTTTGCCTCTGCAGCTGAGGGCAAGGCCCTTGTGTACCACGAGAGTACCGTGGGCGCCGGCCTCCCCGTGTTGTCGACCTTGAAGGACCTTGTGGCCACCGGTGACGAGGTCACCCGCATTGAGGGTGTGTTCTCTGGCACTCTTTCCTTCCTATTCAACACTTTTGCCCCTGCATCAGGTGCTTCCGATGCACAGTGGAGCGCCGTCGTTGCCCAGGCTAAGGAGCTCGGCTACACCGAGCCGGATCCTCGTGATGACCTGAACGGCATGGACGTTGCCCGCAAGCTGACAATCCTGGCCCGTATTGCTGGTCTGGAGGTTTCCAGCCCCGACTCTTTCCCTATTGAGTCGCTTATTCCCGCTGAGCTCGAATCTCTGCCTTCCTCCGCGGATGGCATTACTCAGTTCATGACTCGTCTCCCTGAGTTCGATGCCCAGATGGCCAACATCAAGGACACTGCTGAGAAGCAGGGCAAGGTTGTTCGTTACGTTGGTAGCATTGATGTCGCTGCCAAGGCCGTCAAGGTCGGTCTGCAGTACTTCGATAAGGACAGCGCCATCGCTGGTCTCAAGGGCAGTGACAACATCATCAGCTTCTACACCAAGCGCTACGGTGCCAACCCTCTGATTGTCCAGGGTGCTGGTGCCGGTGGTGATGTTACCGCCATGGGTGTTTCGGCCGATCTGATCAAGGTTGTCGAGCGCCTGCGCTAAACTCCAGACCATTGGAGGCCTAAAAAGATCAATTCAATAGAATCTGTGTCATATCTACTATATAATTCATGGATCTTGCACAGAACACCAATATATGCAGAAGTCTAAGCCCTTAGGAAGTCCTTCAATGCCTCTCCCCACACATCTCCCTTCTTATAAGTATGAATCTCTGGCACATTTCCTCTCTTCAAGCCATCGACCGCGTTTGCAAGGTCCTCACCAGATCCCTCATCCTTAAGTTGCCTAACCGGATAAACATAAGTATGGACGGTAAAAACAAGAGCCTTGGACACCGGCAGTCGATGCAATGTTTGACGCTCACATCGGAGAACAGTCTTTGATGATATCAGCGCTACTCCGTCGAATCAATCTCGCAGCTAACATACCTGGTCAACATTCAATTTCCCAACTTCAATGGCTTCCTCCTTTTTTCCCGACACAGCATGTGTTTCACCGAAAGCAGCAAACAGGCCCGTGTCAATAGTAATGCTCCAATTAACTCGTTTCACAAACTTTCCAACTTGGATACGCGCAAAGAATTTATCCATACTGCGACCAATCTTCTCGTGATAGCCCGGGACAGGGCCATGAATATCGGACAAACGCAACCCGAGTTTCTCGCGCGTGTTGAAGCCAGCCGGGAAACAGGTCGCATATGCCTGCAGTACATATCTCGGTTGGTCCTCGCTGTCGGGTGAAATCTCAGGGAGTAGAATTAGAAAATCCTCGTCTACTGTCTGGCTCAGGATTTCCAGAGCTCGGATCGTTGGCGTCGCTGGCGACAGGGCTGTCGGCCAGGTTGCGCCTGTTACTAGGTTTTGGAAGAGCGAGCCTTCGGCGTTTAGACGGAACATGCTCGGATATCGTGTTGGTAAGTATTTTTCCAGCACGAAATTGTATAGTTCGTTAATGGCGGGCCGGATGCGAGGGTCCTCGTCTGGGGTTTTCTCGTTGTTGATTGCCACCACGATGTCGTGGTTTTGGTCGAGTACGGACTTGCGAAGAGTAACTCGGTCCTTATATGTTTTGTCCATCTGGATCAGCTCTGATGGATCGAGGTTTTCAAGTGCTAATATGGATTAGTCTGGATATCGAGTGTTGTGTGTTGTGTTATGACACATTTGTATAGACTTGGACGACAGACTTACCCATAGTCAAGTTGTAGTTTTCTTTTCCTTTGAATGGGCGAAATTGTAACGGTTCAGTCTCCTCCCAGTTGAATCCCTCCAGAGGTTTGATGGTAGATTTCTCATTTTCCGAGCAAGTTGGCTTCGTCTTTTCGTAGGCATTAGCCTTGCGTGATTGCCGGACCCTCCACACCACAGCACACAGGCCCACGATAAAAGCACAGAGTAGGTGTCGGGAGAAGATGGGCCATGGTGCACCGATGTCTAGTTTGTATGAAGCTTCTGCCATTCTCCTCAAAACAATGTAGAGTGAAATTAAGCTGTTGATGTTTACAATCCCTGCCCAACAGTGATTTTTATGTCCAAAACAACCATCTACTCCGCATGGACTCCGCACTAGAAGGCGAATCTATCGTGGAAACTTGTATTGGAGCTTATCTCTCTCTGCTTTGACTGGCTGCACTGTCCGTTCGTGTTTGCTGATTGACTCATAAGGCCGAGATGGCCTGCGGGGTTCAAGATAAGACGGTTGGGGTATTCAGATTAGATACTCGCTAGGACTTGGTATCATAGATGATCTGCAAGTATTGTACAATCGTCGTAAGTCTTGTACATAATATAGTTAAATCCTCTCACTGCAAGACTTGGGGTACAACACTGAGTATCGAGGGACCATGACACCTCGGAAAAGGAATGCATCCTCGCTCATATAGTCAAAAGCAACAGAAACCACAGACAATAAAAGATCATAAACATCATCACTTCTCACGAGGATCCGATCATATCTGCCCCGAAGTTCTTTGTTTCATCCCATCTCCACTCAGATGTGGATTCAATGCTTGAACAGGGCTCACATTCTCCTTTCGGATCTCCCTATCCAGCCCCGAAGAGTCATCTCGATCCCCCCTTCGTTATCACCGGTATCTGTCTCCACACCGAGTAGTCCGAACGCCCTCCGTTGCCCGCCCAGACGTTCATTCAAGCTTGGCGCGCGAGGGCGCTGTCGACCACGTGCTCGTCCACCAATATAGGGGACCTCCCAAAGGATCAATCGATATATCCAAACGGTTGCATCAAGGAGTACGAGAAAAGCCCAGGGCCCAATGGTGATGAGACCGAGGAAGAACTGCGGAATCCGGGGTAGATTAGCGACTGCGTCATAACACAGGGGCTGAGGGTTAGAGTTGGAGAGAAAAGGGGAAACTCACAAAGAGGCGAGCTACCCAGCTCTCGAGGTGGGTAAGCTCTGGCGGAAGGATGGAGTACCACGCCATTGTGGTGTGGGTTTGGAGTGCTGTTGTGCCTCGGGAGGTTACGGTTGCTGGTGGGTTGGAGCTGTGTCAGTGCTTTGGCGCGCTGTGACTCGGTCCACCACTGTTGACAGCTCCCTTTTCATGGTCTCATTTTTCGAGGTCAGTTGAGCATTTTATAGATCCTCGGTTAGCGAATGAAATGTAGAGAATCAAATTGTACTGGCTCAGTTTGGGTTCCATGATCAATGCACTTCAATCTGATTGGCTGGACCCTGGATACTCACGTGAAAATGTGGCCTGACGGCTCAGGTGTCTACTCACATCCCGAGGTCAATTGAACTACAATTCTTAACGTCGCCTATTCCTCTTTCTAGAGGATATATTGACTCAATATTAATTGACAGGTCAGAAAATGTAGTACCACTATATCAAGAGTTTCACCTGTACCTACCTAAGTACTCGGTATAAGAGCTTTCCTATAACGCAACGATAGGCCTACTTAGTCTTGCGGCTCTTGCCCATCACTTAATGTGGAACTACCGGGAATGGAGAATCTATCGCTATGAAGGAAAATCGCAGGATCAAGTCAATTGGCCTAAAGTAAAAAAATTACTAACCTTTTGACGTTCATGCATACAAAATGACCGTCATCACTAGTGTTCTATAGTAGGTAGGCAGTGCTCGACAGCCATACTATAAAGTCTCCTACGCCCCTACCGAAGTTCACGAAGGAAAAGTCCTCTCCATTCAGCCCCCATATATCGTCCAACCATGAAAATCTTAATGATCCACGGTATTGAACACCAGAACCGCGCAGCCCCTACTTGAAATCTAATCTAACCATTCCAGGATCCCGCCAGTCGGGCGAACTCTTCCGAGCAAAACTCCAAGCCCTAGAAAAACAAATTCGCCGCGCCATCCCTCCACAGGCCGACAGTGTTGAGCTTGTATACCCAACAGCTCCCTTCCCACTAGTTCCCTCCGAGGGCGGTGATACATCCGAACTCCGCAATCGACACGGAGCATGGAGCTGGTTCGAGTCCGAATCTATAGACGGTCTTTATCCCGGACTAGAACGCGGCTTGGATTCTATTGCGTCTATTCTCGAGGAATCCGGGCCTTTTGATGGAATCGTTGGGTTTAGTCAGGGGGCCGCTATGGCCGCTATGGCCGCTTCGCTTCTGGAGGGAAATCGGAAAGATGCGTTTGCCCAACTGGAGGCGGAGGGTGGGATGTCGTATCCTGCTTGCTTTGACATGCTTGAACACCCGCCTCTTAAGTTTGTGGTTAGTATTTCGGGGTATGGGGCGTCGAATCCAGCTTATCGTGCTTTTTATGATCCTGGGATTCGGACGCCGATGATGCATTTTTTGGGGAGTATGGATGTTGTTGTTGATGAGAGTGCATCGATGAGATTGGTGGAAAGCTGTCAGGTGGATGGGAAGAAAGCGATTGTTGTGTGGCATTCGGGTGGACATGTGGTTCCGAGTGGGAAGAGGGAACTCGCTGCGGTTGCGCATTTCATCAAGTCTAATGTGAGCTGAGAGAATATCATGACCCGAACTTCATTTGGAGTTGGAGAGAAGGTCTATGGAATCCTCTAGACATTGAACAGCACTAGCTGCGTCGTGTGCACTGGGTTAGAGATGCTGGGACTATGTAATTAGGAACATTGTAAAGATGTTGAAGAGCCGGATTACCAGAGAACCATTTGGAAAAGTCTTGATACCGTAATATTATGACATTGAAATTGTCCACATCATGTGTGTGTGGTAAAATCTCCAAGATATGCTTTAAAGCAGACGAAAAGTTTGAATCGTGATCTTCGTGTTTAGAAATGACGCCGAGTCCCCCGGAATGTTGTTCGCCAAGATAGAATACAGAAATGCTACACAAATGCAAATGTTTGGCCGAGCAAGCCTAATATGAACATATCACAGCTCACCGATGTGGACGGTAAGCGTCGTAGGGAGCGTATGCGGGCTCGTCATCCTGACCGACAGGTCCATAGCCACCGGTGCGCCAGCGATCCAGCGGGTTTGTGATATCCGCCTGCCCGGGCGTCTGTGCATGGGTGAGAAGTCTGGATTCGGCCTCATCCATCGAGTTGCCACTGTCGCCGCGCGATAGCGGCACACGGAAGGCCGGGTGGATCAGTCCTGTTGGGTCGGGGTTTTCGTAACCATTGTGTATATTCAGCGGCATTGATGGCAGAGAGGGTGCTGGTGATGAAGCACGGGATGAGCCGGGAGACCACTCGCCTCTCAGAGTACTGCGGGGTGTATGCGAGCGCTCTGTCATTAGGTCCTCGGGTCGGCCATAGATGCCGCCGCCGAACTCGTCGCGGAAGTCTGCCCGATCCTTGTAATAGGAGAAATCTAGGTGGCTCTCCGGAACAACTTCGAATGGAGAGGGTTCAGCAGACTTTCCGGGCTGGGAGGCGAGCATCGGGTTCATTGCGATATCTGAGTACTCGCCCCCGGTGTCTCCCTGGTCTCCCTGATCTAGACGACCCTGGTAGATGTCCTTTAGTGCTGCGGCTGCCTTGGCGTGCACCATCGGTGTCAAAAGTGGTTTGTACAGGGCAGGATGTCCGAACTTGGTATTCAGACGGTCTGAGGCCTTCTTATCAGATTTGTTCACGCCCAAGGCCTCGGCATCGCTTAAATTTCCACGATTGTAGAATTCACAATCGGAGTCAAATGTCTTCATGCAATAGAGCTTGAACCCAAGCATCAGGAAAGGCAGGGGGACCACGCAGAATACCATGGTCCACGTGCCGCTCGACTTGGCAACGAGGGCGATGATCACATTGGCAAGAATAGTAGCGAAGATCAGACGATTGAATAAAACTCGCCAAAACGCACCACCAGATTCGTTCTTAGTGATAAACACGTACATCAACAGGTACTTCTTCAATATGGCATCCACACCGAAGTACAATGCCGTTACCGGCAGTACAATTGGCTGCAAGGTAGCGAAACAGAAAGCCACGGTGGCATAGAAGAGGAAATAGTTGTAGTAACTGGCATAATCGAATGGTGGTGGTGCGGTCCACTCAATTGCCTGTCGGGGTGTCGGCGCGAGGAAGGTCTTTGCGAACCAAACCCAAACCATGGTCACGAGCTGCACAAGATCGATAGCAGCGCCAAGATTCCGCTGCAAAAGATACGTCACCCAAAATGGCGAGACTGTACATAGAGCGCTAACCAATTTGGCATACATCCGGCTTTCCAAGATGGCTTGCCAAGCATCTTCGTGATTGTTGGTTTTGTCAATCACAAACGACACAAAGTACCAAGCAGCCGAAAAGAGTGAAAAGACGATTAGATTATTGAAAACGAAGAACGCATACAGATGTCCCAGGACATGGCGCTCGCGAGATGTCTTAGTCTTGCTACCACCTTGAATAGAAAGTCGACGGAAGATGATCGGAAGGGCCAGATACACGAGCGAAGTCAACGCAGGCGATGCGATACCCTGGACAGCAGCCCAAACGTTTGGGTTCGCTGACAGCGAGGTCTGGAACGCCGGCCATACCAACCCCAGATTTGACAGGTTGGACAAGAAAATGGCAATCAGACCGTTAGGAACAATCCAAACAACCGTCAGGCAAGTCACCCAGACAAAATTGACCAGTCGCTTCCACTTGCGTGCTGATTTTGTAAGCGGTAGATTTTCCCAGATAAGATCGCTGGGTCGCGGCGCAAGATCGATAGTAGTGCCCTCGGGGTGCTTGCGGCGGGCATTCCATGCCACAGCATGAGCGTGCTCAATATTGTCCCAACTGGCAAAGCCGTAGGGCATCGCGTTTCGGCGATCAATCGATGCCCGTCCATGCTTGATCTCCTCTTCCAAAACGCGGATCCGGACAGACAGATAATCAATTGCGTCCACTCTGCCGCTGGCGAGTTGATTGCGTTGTTTGCGGGGAGGTCGTAGAGTAGGTCTTTTCGCAGGCAATCTGTCCGGGTTCTTTAGATACTTGGCCAGAACGGACTCGAGTTTTCGCACAACCTCCTCGTGCTCTTTGATAATCCGGGGCAAGTCTCTGACGTTACGGCCAATCGCAGCTCGTGGGAGGGCCGCAGTTGGATTGACCTTGTCAGTCAACCGCAGGATGCCTTCGTCGGTACGATCACCGGGAGGGATGTCAGTGATCATCAAGGTTCGGGCATGCAGACTGCGCTGGTACTCAGAGCTTTGGAAATATTGTCTCCGCAGGTTCCGCACAGCACGATAGTTCCTCCACAAAAAGAAAACAACAATGAGGTCAAAAGCCCAGGCGCATACGACCTGACTCCAAATAGCCGTGGGGTTGGTGATGTTGAGGGGTGTCATCATGTTGAAGGCGGCGGACGCCGATGAGTCGGTGCTGTTCTTGCTCTGTGTGATATTGACCGGTATCATGACGAGGCAGCCGATTATGCTAAGAAATATGAAGATGTTCCGGCACATTTTTGTGAAGCGAAGGAAGATTGCGGCGTCCAGGCCGACTGTCTCGATCAGCTGCGCTTCTCGTGTATTGATGACCGGTTTGACCCAGGCGAAGAAGCCCTTGCCCACCGGAGGCGGAGTGTGTTTAAGGTCTGCATGCTTGACTTTGGGCGCATAGACAAGCGAGTGACGAGGTCGAATAAGGGAGAAGAGGAGGGCGAGGAGGACAGTGACTCCGATCGAGGTACCTAGCGAGGCCCAAATAGCAGTGACTGTGAACTGTAGCTTGTCAACATGGTGTTCTCTCTGTTCACTCAGAACACACTTACTGCAGAACGAAATGGATTCGCAATGAGCTCGAGGAAAGTGTCCGCCCCATCCGTGCGGGCATTCAAGCTCAAGCGATGTATGTCCATTACGTCAAAGCAGAAGTGAGTGGCAATCCGGCATGAACGAAGGGCCGGGGATCAGGAGCCTAGCATGAGAGTGGGATGAGGGAATAGATTAAAACGAGGGGAAGTTTGAGACGATTCGAAAAAAAGTTGGGAACGAGCCAAAGGTGAGACAAAGATAATGAAAGAAAAAAAAGGTGGACTCTGTTGGTCTAGGCTGGATATTATTAGAATTCGATCATCGGATTATTGGTCTCTGGGCGATTTTAGCGTCGCTGATCACAGCCGTTATGTGAGTAAGCCCACAACGAGCCACTTTTCTTCAGTTGAAGCCCTCATGCCAAGTATAAATGATGTAGTTCCCACGGCTCTGGAGATCAGATTTCGTTGCATCAATATCAACTGGCGTTCCCTGTGGCGCTCCGACACGTTTCAATTCTTCCCCTGACCCATCTATTGTCGTATCATTGGCGATCCATCATCCTGTGTTAAATGGTACACCAATCAGTCGCCTGAAGTAGAAAGATTCTGGAACATTGCGATTGTCCAGTCCAAGGTAGCACTGACACAAGACATGGAACTCATGTAGGTACCGTTCAATGTTGTACCTGTTCGTGGGTATCTCCGCGCGTTCAAATGATGTTTGAGGAGTTTGCCTCTGGGGCCTGAGGCCAATACTGATGCCTTACTCCATGAACAAATAAATAGACTGATTTGGGTGAATTTATTAGATGGCCGCTTCTGCGGCTCTGTGATGTCTTTCTTACAAGGCTTTTCAGTGGGCTTTTCAGTGGTCTTTTCAGCAGTCTTTTCAATCGCTTTCTCGGTGGGCTTCCCGGTTTTTCTTAGATAACTATAAGATAGTTTTCCCTATTCCAGTCTATTCAAGACGGTAGAAAAAGGCGGAAAAAGCATACTCTGTGCAAGCGACTTTTCTATGTATAACTTCTGATGATGATGATGATGACTGATGATTCCCCCTTTGACATTTAATCTAACTGCAAGACCTCCTGTTTGGGTAGTATCCCATGTCACCGTTCAATCTTCACAATTACGTCAGAATATAGTACTCGGAGTTACTCCGTAGTTGTAGATAAAAAAATTTCTGGGCGCCAAGTAGCCCCCTTGTTCGTGAGATAGTGCTAGTGACCAGCTGAGGGTCAGATTGCTCCTAGGGTTAAATATAGAAATGGCCGGCTAGGACAATTTAACCGTACAGTGTGCGATTTGCTAGCCTCTTCAGGCCAATGTAACACTGATCCACTCGGTTCCTCCCCCAGTAAATCCCCATGATGAATACTCCATACGGAGTACTCCGTACAAGAGCTATGTACACTGCCAGCAACAGGGATCAATATTCCCGCTAAGAATTTGTAATGTATGAAACAGTACTCCGTATCCTTAGAACAAATCCCCATTTGCCGAACTTTCAATAAATCAGGGTACAGTGACGGGCGCACTGGGCTCCCGCACGGCCAAGTATGCTGACCGATTTCAAGACCCCGTGCATGATGTTTTGCACTTAAAGCTTGAGGTCATATCCGGGTCCTTGTGGTCGCATGGGCAGGTGGTCGACTGTGACTTGAGGGTGTGACCGCAGGTATACGATATCATATTATAACACATCGTGTTGCGAGATAGGAGGGCAGCTATTGGGATATATATAACCTTTGGTCAGAGATTAGAACATGTATAAAATAGTAAGGAAGACGATAGACGTACTCTGAGCCTTGCTAGATAAGAGGTTTTGATAGATTGAAATTGGATCGAAATATAAGTGGCAGTTGTCTTGTCGTTTATATATTCAGTCATATGACAGGCTAGAATAACTTCAGAGTGCAAATAGGGGACCTCCTCTTGGCAGACGGTCACACGCCCGAATCAATTTGTTTCATTCACTCCTGATGGGAGCTGAGCGGGGTGAGCAAGGATCTTGGGGCTTCATACCACGAACCAGGTGCTGACATTGCTTGTTCAAGGCTGCTTATAGTGCTCTCCTACCCCAAGAACGGTAAGAAGCTAAGAGTCCCGATATTGATTCATGCATCCCCAATGATGAGCGGGGGCGCACTGATCCAATAATTGACAAGTGTCCGTTAGTACTGAGAATCCGTAGGGGTGGAGAAGAGCTTGAGTACAGTAAGGGTAGACCCTGTTTCTTGGCGGATTTGGAGTCAAGAGTATAGACCCGTAAGTCGGGTAGGAGTCGGATACGGAGGGAAGAATGTCTCTATTCTTCACTTTATAGCATTTAGTGCTTAGTTGGGATTTACTGACATTTCTCTTTTGAAAGGATGTTTCGACAAATCGTAACTACGTATGTACTTTCCAAGTTGCCAATTAAGCTTAAATAAGGTCGGAAACCTCAGGCACCAATCTCCGCGCGAAGCCTCTGAATGGTGCATGTTTAAGGGTACTTGTTATTTACAGTTCCGTTCTACATTTACAATATACAATTCTGTGAACGTTGTGAATCGTGTGTGGTATTGTTCGCTATTTACATCGTCAAATCATCAAAAGACAGAATTTCCGCCGTGATGGTATCGTAGAATTCAGATCACTTTAGTTCTTGGCAGCCTCTGGAAGATTGTTAGCACTCAGTCTCTAATAAGCTTGACTTGATGGTTTCAGCTTACCCTTGTGGACATCAGCCTTGGTGTTGTGGGAAACCTCGTCCTTCTTGTCGACGATGGCGTCCTTGGCAGCGCTGGCGCGGGTGGAGACGTTGGCATCGCTGTCCTTGGCGACGCTCTTGTTGGCCTCCTTGGAAGCCTCGGCACCAGTGCCCTGGATGGTCTCAGCGACGTAGTTAACGGCTTGCTGTGAGTATTGTTAGAATGATATATCAAAGGCAGGTAGGAGGCTTGGGTCAAGCACGAACCTTGGCAGTCTCCATTGTGAATTTGAGAGATGAGAGTTGAGAAGTGTGGTTTGTTTGAGAAGATTGTAGCGTGGAAGAGATGAGCTGTGTTTGGTGAAGAAGGAATGAGAGAGGGAAGTCAAGAGATATTTATGTAGTTCTGCATCCCCACTGGGCAGGGGCGATGACGTCATGACGTCATCCAAGGCCCAGCCTGGAAACCGCCCAGTTTCCAAGACTTGCCAACTCGCACAGATCTCACATATCTTCCTCCGTACATTGCCAAGTTTGATTCGATCAAACCATAAAATCTTGGAAGTTCGTGTGGCTGCCGCATATCCACACTTTACAGCCTTCTACCCTGTGATTTGGTGTGAGCTTTTCTGACATCACCAATCATGCGAATATACACTATCAATCTACAATCGCATTGTGCATGTGAACCTGACTTGCTTAGACGCCTCGAACATTCCATTACTTCCATTTTCTTCCCTGACCCTTCAAAGAGACATGTGTGAATTGCCTCACCCCCAGACTGTTCCCGGACCCACCTGGCCATGACGTAGATTTACCCCAAGCCGAGTGGACCTTGGTAGATTCCATGGACCTTCGGAGAACCTTTCTTCACCTGACCATTGAGGCAAATCGAAGGTATGTATCTGAATTCAAGACTTGCCTTTGTTCAAAATTTCATGCTTAGTCAAATATTCTTTAAACTACATAATGAAGCTAGCTGCCATCGAAGCCTCAGAGACCACCATATAGATCATCGATCACATCTAGGCCCATGTACAGTAGTGTAGTTAGCATTGTGGGGAATATACCCTGTACAGCCACAGTCTGATCGATGTCATGCATGGGCCCAAGCCTTCTTGGCCTGTGACGTAGTTGGAATATGCGCCGATATCTCCTACACTACCTTCAGCGACCTCGGGAGATCGGTATCTGAACCCACCAATCAGAGAGAAAAGTAAACTCCCATTATTAAGTAATATTTTGATGTCCCATGTATTAGGTCTAGCTTAAGATAATGATTGGTTTGAACACTTTATTCAGTTACAGCCCGTAGTTCCGAGGTCAGACTATGTCTTTGCATTTATTTCCAAAGTCTTCTTCTTCTGGACTTCTAAGCTTTAGTCGAGCATAGAAGAGAGCTCATTAAACTTTGCTAGAAAGTCAGGATGTTGGTGTAAGAGTGAGGTTCCTAAGACCAAGCATGTATACATATAGGGTAGTTCGTGCTTTCGCTACGTAGTTGATCCATTGGAGACAGACAATATTTTGATTTGTTTCGCCTACTCCCGTTCATGACCGAGTAGGCTTATAAGGAATAGAACTTCCAAGACGGCGTGTGCTCACGCGATAACGGTTGATCTTGCATCAAGGCTCGCACCAACTCTATTGGCATACAATTGCCCTTTAAAAATCGATCATGGAATTCCTTCTCACCAAGATGTCCCGTTTCGACAGTCTCCTTTCGCAACGCATATATCTGTAACGCACCCAGCATATACCCAGCCTGATATAACGGGGAGTAGTCGCCATTCAATGATCGCCTCACTTCTCCTTCTGCAGTGGCACGTTCATGTCCGACTTGATCAACGAGTAGATCAATGCATTCCTGGGGTGCCATCTGGCCAAGATGAAATTTGATAGAGAATATAATCCGGGCACATCGATGGAGCCGCCAAAACAGCATCCCGATCCGATTCTGCGGCGTCTTTTGGAACCGTTCATCATTCCACAAAAGGAACTCCCAATACAGAGCCCATCCTTCAATCCAGAACGGGGTATCAAATAATTGGCGGTAAGGTCTGTATCTCGCTATCATGTGCATCTGCAAATGGTGTCCGGGTATCATTTCATGGAAGACCGTGGCGCGGGAGAAATGGATGTTATTCCCACGCATGCTCATCAGCTTGGCTTCATGATCCATCTGGTCTGTTGGATATGAGACAATGATACAGTCACCGCCGAGGAAGAAAGGGTTGACTTTCTGGCGCTCGGGCGACATCATGAACATCTGCCAGTTCTCCTTGGCGACGGGTGGAACGGTGACGAGTTCGTGATCTTCGACAAAGGAGATTGCTTCCATTGTGAGATCTCGGACTAATTCGGTTTGTCTTCCAGGATCGACAAAGTCATTCTTGACTTCTTCCAGGGCCTGCTTCCAGTCGTCCTCGTATCCCATACTACGTGATGCCTTTTTCAGTTCAACAACACACCATTTGAACTCATTCTCTCCGATTGAGATTAGTTCTTCTGGTGTGTAAGCAATCATTTCACCCAAGAGCTCGCTTAGCAAACCCTCTCGGCCGATGGGATCGCCCACTATGGCATCCTCGTTGCCTGGGCGGATACCAGCCAAGTTCTCTCGAATAGTTGCTGAAACGTCTTTCAGGCTTTTTTCCACGATCCCATATGGATGTGACACCCACCAATTGAACGACGGATCGTAGCCTTGGTAGAATTCAAACCATTCTTTCAAGTTGGCATGCAATGAGTCTATGTTTCTCGCCGCTCTGAATGCAGTTGTTTTCTCCATCCGGATCTTGGTCGATTCGTTCTTGATCATGTCTACCACGGCTGCGATTTGAGACTGAGCTTCAACGAGCTTTTGGGCTGCATCTTTTGAATTCATCGACACTACCATAGCACGAGCCTCGCACAGCTGTAGCAGGTTGTCTGAAAATGGCAGAAGGACTGCAGTCTTTGCATCCTGTTTGAAGTCCAGTTCTAACTCGCGGAGCTGCCTTTCTAAATAATTTCTTATGAGAAGATAATCTACCTTCCCCTGTTGATCATATAGATCAAAGGGCTGACTCCGGAGTGACTCGAGCTCGGATATAAGGAATTCGCGTAACTTCCGTGTTCGTCCCGGAGATATCTTGATGGGGTAGAAGTTTTTAATATCTCTGAGGTCCTCGGTGATGCGCTCGATTCTGTCACGTATTGTGTCGGCTTGTGCACGCTGGATGGCGATGCCCCTGGATGACGTGACTGATACCATGGCAGACAGAAATCGTTATCACTTTCGCTTGGAAATAGATGAATAGGCGTGTTTTTATTTGCGTGTTTTCTTTGAATCGAGCCTCGGGGCAGGAAATCGGAAGAAGAAATGTAAGGCTGGACTAGCCCCAGACTACAAATAAAAATAGACTTGCGGCCAAAGTATAACTTGGACCATTGCAATAGATTTGATTGAAGCAGGTAGGTCCTACCACAATTTACTACATCGGATGGTGCATCCGACATTATAGCTCCTATCGCCGGTAGATCCGAATGGTGGGTTTTTGTTCATATCGCATCAGCTTATTTAGCTTAGAAAGCCGCATGGGTTTTCTCCGCATTTATACCTAAAGCAGGTACATTGTTATCTTAGTGAGATTCTTTCAAATTATATCCGGAGATTGATAGGACGATAGCTTATAGGTTATGGTCCAAACGTGTTAGAATGCGGGGGGATGAATCGAGGGCCGACATTGTCCATAGCCATTGGCAAGTTGAGATAAGGATCGTTTTCCTTTTTGCACGGGCACGCCTTTTGCTATGATATTATCCTCTAATCTACCTTTCGTACTTCCCCCGGTCGTATCATATAAGACTTAGACACTCGCCTTTCCCGAACTATCATGTCTAGGAGCCTTCAAACCTTGGACACAAAGTCGACCACGCCTACTGAATCCTAGACGAGCTACCTGTCACCCGAATATTGTAAAATGGGCTCGCATCTACCTGTCACGGAGGGCCTTGACCCAAACGATAACAACAAGTCGGCAACCAATACGACCCAAGAGTTACAGAAGATCCAAATCTCGCATCAGTGGGATCCAAATTTGCCGCAGGAGAAGATCGATGCTATTAACGAAGCAGTCAAAACAGGTGATCAGGAAAAGGTTGTCGAGATTGAAAAGGCTCTCGCCCAGGATTCCCAGTATGATCTAGTTCGTGCCGCGGTGCGTAATACAGATGGCGGAGAAGTCGCCAATACTGTACGTGCCTGGGTGCTGGGCATGTTTTTCACTACTCTTGGAAGTGGACTTAATATGTTTCTGAGCATGAGGTGGGTTTTGATTTCAGTATAGTCTTTGAGTAGGAAAACTCATCTTGCATTAGGAGTCCTGCTATTTCATTCCCAGCTATCGTCGTACAGTTGCTGGTTTATCCATTAGGTTGCTTGTGGGCCAAGACAATGCCGACTCGGAAGTTCAATACATTTGGAGCTGAATGGACGTTCAACCCTGGTCCTTTTACTATCAAAGAGCATGCAGTCATCACAGTAAGTTGGTGAAAGTTGATGAGGCTCCAGAAAGCTAACCTTTTGCTTTTAGATCATGGCAAAGTCAGTGAATTCTCATCACAAACTTTGACCAATGCTAAGCAATATGTAGTGTGTCGATCGGCTATGCTTATTGTACAGATGCCCTCTTGGCATTGAAAGCAAAGCGTAAGCAATATCTCTTGTAAATCAATCTCGGTCTAACACCTGATTTTAGCACTCTATAACATGGAACTTGGATGGGGGTTTCAACTTTTATTTGCTTTGAGTAGTCAAGTGGTTGGTATGTCACTGGCAGGCATTTTCCGCCGTTTCCTTGTCTGGTGAGTTGGACCCGTCCTTGCCAAGATTTCCGCTCACAACTCCAAGGCCCGCTGCTATGATGTGGCCTGGTCAGTTTGCAAATACCTCATTGTTCTATGCTCTTCACGACTGGAGCTCCTCAGATGAATCAGAGACTCAAGGATGGAGCATCTCACGCTATCGATATTTCCTATATGTGACAATTGGGGCTTTTATCTGGTATTGGTAAGGTGATCTTTTTCTAACCTGAATTACATATGCTAATTCTCTTCGAACTGCAGGATACCAGGAGTCCTATGGCAAGGACTATCAGTTTTTGCTTTTGTCACCTGTAAGATCCCGATGGTCCGTTTGGTTCCTGGCTGCACTGACCCTTCTGCCTGTAGGGATCCGACCCAACAATGTGGTCTTGAACCAGCTGTTTGGAGGCTTTACAGGACTTTCCCTCATTCCTATCACCTTCGATTGGACGTAAGATTCACAGCTCCTGTTCGTTGCAGAACCACTGAAAGGAAGTAAAGCTAATTATAACCAGCTACGTTTCTGCATATCTCGGAGATCCACTCTTGGCACCTATCCATGCTATTGTCAATACTCTTATCGGGCTTGTAGTTTTCGTGATTATCACCACAATCGGAATTTCTTACTCTGGAGCTTTGTATGCTGCAACATCTCACTTGTTCTATTCCAAGACTGACAGCAATATAGGTACTCCGACTATCTCCCTATCAACACAGCAAGCACCTATGACAACACCCAAAATGCCTATAATGTGACAAGAATCCTAGGTGCTGGGTTTTCTTTTGATGATGCAAAGTACAAGGCATATTCACCGATGTTCCTGGCTCCAACCTTTGCCTTAAACTACGGACTGTCGTTTGCGGCCCTTACAGCAGCCATCGTACATGTTGTTCTATTTCACCGAAAGGAAATCTGGCACCAATTCAAGGCTGCTCGGGACCAGGAACCTGATATTCATCTAACCATGATGAAGAATTACAAAGAGGCACCTGACTGGTGGTATGCGGGTCTATTCCTATTCTCGATCGCGACAGGGCTTGCAGGCATTCTGGCGTATGATTCGCAACTTCCTTGTATGTGATGCTCCTCTGGGTACGACTATCAGATCTGACCAAATACATAGGGTGGGGCTTTTTTGTCTCGATCATTCTTGCCGTTGTCTTTATAGTATGTCGATTTATGGGTATTGTGGGCTTGTTTTTGACTCGAAAAAATAGATTCCAACCTGCCTGATTCTCGGCGTCACAAACATCATGCTTTGTACGTGCAGCCTCGGTCCTCCAAATTGTGTGCTACGCTAATCTACACAGCGCTCAATGTTTTATCCCCATTTTTGGCAGGGTTCATGATGCCAGGAAAGCCGATTGGGGTCATGGTATTCAAAGTCTTTAGCACCATCACCTTGGGACAAGCGTAAGGTGTAATAGTATTTTTCGAGGACGAAGCTAACCTTGACAATAGCCAGGTATACTGTGCAGATCTCAAAGTAAAGCACTCACTCTCCATGCCAGTGGACAGATTGCTGACTCTTCAATAGCTGGCTCATTATATGAAAGTGCCACCCCGGGTCACCTTCATGTGTCAAGTTGTTGCTACATTATGGGCAAGTATTGTTCAAATTGCAGTCATGAATTGGACTTTGGGCAATATTGATGAAGTTTGCACGCCGTACGTCATCCCCATCTTACCAAAGAGAGCATGCATTAATCATCTATGGCAATAGTGCTCAATCAGCCCATTTCACGTGCCCAAACGGAAGATCCTTCTTTTCATCCAGCATTGTGTGGGGTTAGTTTGATTGTCTCAAGCACATATTAGCGGATTACTGACTCTTCATAGGTGTTATTGGCCCACAGCGCATGTTTGGACCCGGCGGCTTGTATGTGCAGATCCAATGGTTTTGGCTGCTCGGCGCCCTTCTCCCGGTAGCGTTCTATGTTTTGATAAGATTGTTCCCTCGGACTAAGCTCAGATTCCTCAATGCACCTGTGTAAGTGACGGACGATCATCTCTGATAGACTATGCTAAGAATTATCAACAGGATGCTAGGTGCTATGGCCTGGTTGCCTCCGTGAGTCTACGCAATCCATGCTGTTACTCACATTTAGCCGTTATTGACCCCTTTACAGGGCCACTCCACTGAGTTTCTTTTCATGGGCTATCTTTGGCCTCATCTTCAACTACTGGATTCGACGGCGGTGGGGCGGTTGGTGGCATACTTACAACTATATCACCGCTGCCGGACTTGACTCGGGCCTCATTTTGTCCACCATTATCATTTTCTTTGCGATTATTCTTCCGAATGTCTCGATACCCCAGTGGTGGGGAAATATAGCTCCATTTGAGACCACGGTACGTAGCTACATACGGAGTATATCCCGTCATTTATCGAAGTGGGTCCTAACGATGAATATAGGATTCTCTTTATACTGCAGTTCGAAAGACAGTCGTGGAAGGAGAGACTTTTGGACCCGAGAAGTGGTGATTTACCCGTATTAACTATTGGATATTTACATCTAAATGTAAATTTATCATGTTGTATGGACCTCACATGGTAGTACACTGACCTCGGGATATTTATAGTACCCTTGGCCCACGTGATCCGATACTTCCCCAGGGTAGGTGGTGACGTGGTCAGATAGTATATGTCGAAGGAGTACTCCGTAGTCGAGAACAATAGAGTAAGAAGAAAAACCCATAAAAGACGATTTACAAAAGAAAAAGGGGCGTCGGGATGAAACCCAGCCTCAAACAGAATTTGGGTATCAACTCGAAAGCTTTCAAGGCTAGCACCCGCCCCTAGACGATCTCCGTATCCCAACCTCCTCTTACTCTTTACCCCCCCTCTCCATCGTCCTTTTAGTATCCTCTACATTTTCCACGGGATTTGTTTCATTCTGTGAAACAGTCCTCGCACCGCATCAACTGTGCTTGGGCCTGAGCCCTGGCTGCGGCTTCCCTCTCTCCCCGCTTTGACTCGAAATCACTCAAAGGAGAATCACATCCACGATGTCACTACCAACTAATACGCCGACTGTGGCCCGCAGTCAGTCAACTTCATCTCGTCCTTCTCGGGCCCCATCGGATCTCCCTCATCGGACACGGAGTGTAGCGGTTCGACCGTCAAATACGACTCAGCCCCCCACGCCAACTAACTTGTCACATTCGAAGACTCCTTCCCAGGACCGACGTCCTCCTTCAAACCATAGTGCACTTGAAGATGCAGCTCGACGCGATTTCGAGACATCCAATCTCGCGCGCATCCCTTCTCGTCGGGAAGCGTCATCCGACCGATCTCAAGAACGCCCCTCGACCGCTCGGACTGAAACTGCCCGAAGGCACCAAAGAAACCCCTCAACTCAAAGCCGGCATCGAGACAGTGTTGATATGACACCAAGCTCTGGTTCACAGCTGCCGCCGCAACATGCGACCGCAACAAATGCCCCCGCAGCTGCGCCCAAGCGACGGACTACGATCACGACCCCGACAGGTCAGTGGGCTCTAGGCAAAACAATAGGTGCTGGAAGTATGGGAAAAGTAAAACTAGCGAAAAATATGGAGACTGGAGAACAGGTACGATATTTGACTCTTGTCTTAAATTATCAACATAATACTGACTACGGTCGCAGGTTGCCGTTAAAATCGTGCCCCGACTCTCAACCGAGGAACATCGCACCAGTCGGGAGACAGAGAGAGCTGATCGCTCAAAGGAGATTCGCACAGCTCGAGAAGCCGCCATCGTCAGCCTAGTGAACCATCCATATATCTGCGGCATGCGGGACGTCGTTCGAACATCATACCATTGGTACATGCTGTTTGAATATGTCAACGGTGGTCAAATGCTGGACTATATCATCTCCCACGGCAAATTGAAGGAGAAGCAGGCGCGCAAGTTCGCGCGACAGATCGCTAGCGCATTGGATTACTGTCACCGCAACAGCATTGTCCATCGCGATCTGAAGATTGAGAACATCCTTATCAGCAAGACTGGTGATATCAAAATCATTGATTTTGGTCTCAGCAACTTATTCTCGCCGAGAGGCATTTTGAAGACATTTTGCGGCAGTCTTTATTTCGCTGCTCCGGAGTTGCTTCAGGCCAGACCGTATACGGGGCCCGAAGTTGATGTTTGGAGCTTTGGGATTGTCCTTTATGTCTTAGTTTGTGGAAAAGTACCTTTTGATGACCAGAGCATGCCTCAGCTGCATGCCAAAATCAAGAAAGGTGTCGTGGAATACCCACCAGGTCTCACTGCTGGTAAGTCAACATTGACAGGATTCTTTGTTTATATTCCATTGCTGATTAGAATTTGCAGAGTGCCGCCACATTATATCCCGTATGTTGGTCACTGACCCCAAGCAACGTGCCAGCTTGGCCGAGATCATGAACCATCCCTGGATGAACAAGGGATTCAATGCTCCTCCAGAGAACCACCTCCCCCATCGTGAGCCTTTGCAGCTACCTCTGGATTCAGAGGTTATTGAGAAGATGACCGGCTTTGACTTTGGGCCTCCAGAGTATATCACAGCTCAATTGACCAAAGTATTGGAGTCTGAGGATTACCAACATGCTCTCCGGCTGTACGCCCGGGAACAGCAACAACCTGTTTCCAATCATTTAGAGCGCAAACGAGGAGTGTTCGATTTCTACAAACGACGAAACTCTGCGGCCAGTCGCGATACCCTTTCTGCTCCTTCGGCTGAGGCGGTGCAACTAGGCAACGACCCTTTGAATGCTTACAGTCCGTTGGTATCCACATACCATCTAGTCAAAGAGAAGCTTGACCGAGAGCGGGCTGAAGCACGGCCTGGTGCTCTTGGTCTTCATAAACCCCCCAGCGAAGTCCACGTGCCTGAACTGCGGGCCCCGGAAGCTGCCCACACCAATCAGTACCAGTTGGCAGGAGACAAGGATACAGGGCGGCGATCTCGGCCACGGGCCCGCACCCATGGCGAGGACGAAGCCTCGGAAGGAATGAAGATACTTCATTCCTCCTCGCCATCTACCCACGCAGTTCCAACCTCACACCCCGACACACCCGCCAAGAAAGAAAGCACTGCTGCTGGACTCTTGAGACGATTCAGTACGCGCCGGACCAAAGATCGCCATCGCGATGCGGATCGTGAACCCATCAGTACCCCCAACACACCGACACTCAACGTTCAACCTCCTGCAGATTCAGCGTCTCCAATGCACCGTGGCTTCAGTGTAAGGAGAACTCGACGGGCAGAGCCATCTCCAGGTGGGACCTCTTCGAATGACAGCCGACCACAGCAAGATCTTCTGGCGGCGCCAACAACGGCAGAACGCAGTGCACGGTCCAACAAATTCCTGGAGAGGTCGACCAGCGTCAATTCAGCGGACTACCGAACTCGGAGAGCCGCGCGGAGAAGTGACGACGACACCTTGGATGTCGCTACAGACCATGAACCGCCCTCTATCAGTGACTCTGATCAAGTCGTTCCGAATAATCAGAAAGATCCGGCCAGCGCGAGGACGGGTGGACGCACACATACGGCACGCACCATGTCCCTGGGACACGCCCGGCGTGAAAGTATCCAGGCACGCCGCGCCCGGCGAGACGCTACCCGAGAGGCCAACGTGCCCGAGGAGACCGATGCGGACATATCCGGCGCAGGAACAGCACTGGAGAGCGCCAACGAGGGAGAAGATCTATCCAAACCAGTGTTCCTCAAGGGTCTTTTCAGTGTTTCCACGACCAGCAGTAAACCGTTGCCCGTCATTCGGGCTGATATCATTCGGGTCTTGAGGCAACTTGCGGTTGAGTATGTCGAGATCAAGGGTGGGTTTAGCTGTCGGCATGCCCCCAGCATCGACCTCGACAAGGTGATTGATGTGAGCCCCCCCAGTCCAGAACGACAGGGGCAAGTATCAGGACACCGCCGTCGTATCAGCTTTGGTGGTCTCCTTAACCACGACGAGAGCCGCGATGACAGCCGCGCTGGGTCCTCCAAGCTTCGTCGAGCTCAAGCTGCGCCGGATCGCAGTTTTACCACGAACTCGGATGGCTCAGATGAATATGTGGCACGGGAACAGGGTTCGGTCGGCGACCGGGTCGTCGGCGAAACCACTACCCGTGTACAGAGTGACACCGGAGAGAACCTTGTCCTTCGATTCGAAATTCTGATCGTCAAGGTGCCTCTGTTCTCTCTACATGGTATTCAGTTCAAGAAGGTATCAGGTGGAATGTGGCAGTATCGAGAGATGGCGAAGAAGATCCTCGATGCCTTGAAACTGTGACCTGTCCTGTTGACACAGAATCCTTGACCAAAGAGTGCATTTCATGATCAGATCCCCTTTCCCTTGCCTTTGTGACACAGTTGGCGTTTTGTTCTGAGTTACAATCATTCACGACGCATCCGCATGAGCATTCATCAGTTTTGCCCCGTTATCATTGCATGTCCCTCGCTATCTGTTCTTTATTTTTCATCGAGGGGTCCATTTATCTTCATTAGCCCGTTATTTGCTCTTTTCATCCCGAACCTAAGTACTACTCGCCTATCTCAATACCTATTGACCTAGCTAGACTCTCGGGTCTTCATGGTGTATATTAAAATCGAGTGAAGACAATTTTGGTTGCTAGCGTTTTTGCTTGAGCTTTCGTTTTGTCTCTGTCGTCTATTGGCTATGGCCAGGAAGATGGCGGTATACCTTTCTTTGGACATAATGGACTTTATATCAACCGGCCTACGAATACAAAATGTTGGAGCAGTATTCCCTAGATCTCTTATTCGTCAACTCTGCTGAGTACTGCTAAGATAAGTTCCAAATTGAATCCTTTTGGAAATGGCAGACCTCTAAATTGCCTATTCGACTTAGTTTTGCCGCTTAACCTCCTTTCAAACAGGTGCCCACCTCCCCAATGTCTTGTCCTGGTATCATTGCCTCCGCTTCTATCGTGGATTGGTTCCCTGGTGACTGTAGGTGCTTTGCCCTATCCCAAGTATACAATGGCAAAAAGGCCCCTTCGACGCCAGTACCCTCAACCTCTCAACCCTGAAAACCCTAGGGGAACCCCGAGAACCACCAAGTACTCGATCACGCAAGCTCACGTCACCATACTCGAATTTCCCAGGTCCGTCATCTAAAAGGGTACGCCTAAGTATTGGATTCCGCGCGCGGCCGCCTTCCCATAGCTGGGGCTTGGTGTGGCCTGCAAGTACTGTAATAATAGGAAGACTGTATTCTAATGACTTGACTGCTTCTTCCCACAGGTGCTCTCTAACTCCTCTATAATGCGATCATAGGTACCCAACTTCCCAACACAGGTATATGCCCCATATGAGTAAGCTATAGCCTGGCTCCTCTTACTGCTCAAGCAAGCCGAGAGCAAGCTATCTTCAAGCTCGACCGATTTGACCAGTTCGATATACTCCTCGCGCTCGCGCCAGGGTTTCTCGCAATTCTTCGTCTAGCGGCTGCCCATCATGGCCGTATTTCCCAGGTAGATCGAAGCTGACGGGCATAGCTGTAAGGAAATCGGGGAATGCGATCAGTTCCCAGGGAACCGTACATGCTCCTTCCCAGTCGATGATTCCGGTCACATTAAAGCTATTCTCATCCACCATAATGTTACTATGAAGAAAATCATCATGGTCTAGAGGGAATGGCCCTTCGTTGTATAAGGATAGCCGGCTAGCCAACGCTTTTATCTGCGAAGGAAAATTATCGATGATCGTGATCATGCGTTCTGCTGGGATTGGGCCTCTCGCCATCATCCTTGTTATTGTTTCTTTATCACACTTGAACTTAACGCTATCGGCCCACGCCTCGAAGAATGCAGTTGCTGTATCAAATGGACCGCCAATACCCGGTAAGGGACCACACTCATAGTTACCCTCGCTGTTCCGGATAATTGTTCCAATTTTGGGTAGTCGTAAGGAAGTCAATTGAACCTATATATTAGGGGGGCAGGGTAAGTAAGTATATAAGCACCGGAGCGAGCCTATAGGCCAGGAAAGGGGACGAACATGAGACTTCGCGACAGAGCGGTAGAAGTTTTGTCGGTGCTCTTTAGGTATCACACCACGATGAACCTTGTAGCCACCGAGTGCGTCCATAGCGACACTTCCAGGGAGTAGCTCCATCAGAATAAACGCAGCCCTCACCGGATTGTTCTCATCAACGTCATAAGCAAAGACTCGGGGCACTGGTAAATCGCAATGCTCCTTGATAAATTGCATTGTTGCAACTTCGGTTTCAAGCTTAGTTCTGCTAACAAGAGAGGTTCTCCTTCTGATATGAACCCGGGCGGCCCAGCGTGTCTGGTCGGAAAACTCTAGCACCCGCACAATGTTGTTGAGGCCACTTGCAACCTGATCTAGGGCTATGCATTGCTGACCAGCAAGACCTGAGGCAACTCGACATAGCTCATCCCATTGAGTGCGGCGGAAACAATCGGCGGTGTGGGTGTCACTATCTTGCAGGAAAACCTGAGTGGTAGTCCATGAAGTTGACGCGGTAGACATAATGGCGGACAGCAATTGATGAAGCTAAGGTAAGATTCAGAATATCCTTGGCCTTGGATGCAGTGTGTGGAATTGATGTGATATATGTCTTAGAAGAGGGAAAATGCAAGTATACGTTGTCCTCTATGCATCTTAGACAAGGAAGCATTTTCTGATTGGATGTTGACATTTGATCCGACTAGGGCTCGTCTTCTGCCTGGGTAAGGCTATCTTGCAGGAGTTTTTCTATTTCCACCTCCTAGTAACAACCATTGACCAAATTGCGGATTGGGGTATATTATAAACTAAGCAAATAGGCAACTTATATATAATTCTGCTGATTTAGCTGACTTACTACTAATGCCCCCTTTTTTGTAGAGACCGGGTCGAACTGGGCCTCAGCCGGGTTTTCTGGGGCCCCAGTTACTGGGTCTAGTCGAGACCTTCGGGCCGAAATGGGTGCGGAAGCCTAGGCCTGACATGATGGCTCCGAACACCCAGGACACTGGCCCAACGATTTGTCGCCCTTCAATACAATCTTGAAATCGGTCAAACCGGACAGCAAACCTCTTCGCCAAAATCGGATTGCCTCTTATGCGCGATATTGTATATTATAGTAAATTTATGACGCTGCGGAGTCCCGTTGTTGGTGGCCCGTGCCGAATTCGCCAGTTGGCGAAGGTGACGCAAATTCCCCTACGCAACTACACCTCCTAAATCTCGTTGTATATTTTAAATAAGTGAATATATGACGATAAAATCTACTAATAAAGCCCGTTTAGTAAAAAAAAATTATATATTATCATAGCCTTGGAGGATATAGATGGCTCGTTTGTTAGGGGCGCGGGAGTAGTTCCCTGCGCCCCAACTTCGGCTTCATCGCCGCCAAAGACGGGGCCTCACTTAGAGAGGATTGGCACCTAGAAAAGCGACACCTAGGAACCGGCACATGTGACGCGGGGAATAATAGGAGATACAATATGTACAAATGTTGAGTTACTAAGAGATTAATAGGAGGCCTCAGGTAGCCACATGAACCGATATACTTCGCTTTCTCTTTTAACACATACGACGCCTGCAAATTCTACATAATCCGACCTATTCATAATATAATATTGGGTTCTAGATAACTATACTATTAATTCTCTATAAAATAAGCGAGCTCCGGTACTGACTCATCAAAGGTATAGGGTGTTGATTGGGGGAAGTGAGAAACACCACGGCCCGCATGGTCAGACAATGATGCCAAGGCTTTATAACAGTCATTGCCCTTAAATCTTCAACTCCCTCTACCCGCCGATCCCCACATTCAACCTGGCTGATATATATATCAATCGAAAGTAGACGCTGAGCTCTATAGTATAGTGTTTTTTGGGAGTGTTTTTATGCTCTTTTTGCGTCTGTAGGCTATCAGGTTGCTGGGGCCTCACTAAAGACCACTTGGCCGTCCCGGGCGCTGTTCCCGCACTTCCCAAAAACTCCCTTTTCATGCCCAATCAGCGGCCACTGACCAGAATACCCTATCAGCCCAAACCACGGCAAATCAAATCAAAAGCCCAAATTAACTTTAATCGATAGTGGAAGTTGGGAATATCAAAAAACCATTGAAAGACCTGCTTTTCTTTGAAATGAGACAACATGAGACGCTAACGCTATGACGATCATTACCTATTTAGGCAGGAGCCCAATAAACGGTGCTGAGTCAGCACCTATAAACGGGCCCGCCACGACCTTCCCGTCCTTGTTCCTTCAACCTCACTTCGTCACCACTCTTAACCCTCAATCTTCCACCACATCTCCAATCCGCCACGAACGTCGGATGCTCTTCTAGTCTCTTTTAGTTTTACCGGCGCGTCTTGGAGATACTGTTTCTTCCCTTCTTTTTCGTCTCACGACGTTTATTTTTCATATCCCTCTATCCTCGCCTCCTAGGCTATAGGATCTTCGACTCATCGAGATTTCGAGTATCTCAGGAGCCCCTGTTTGTTTAATCTCCTCGCCGTGCAATTCTAATATCTTGAAAGGTATGCAATTATGAGATTCAACGCGCTTTTATACGCGTTCTGAGGCTTGTCACCCCTAACACCTACGCGCTTAGGATGGCGGGACGTGTCCCTCTTGGCTCGGGGGCTAATCAGAACCGAGTGTTCATTGACTTAACGGACGAGATTGAACCAAACGATTCAGAGGTAGTAAGTTCTTATGCCCAGTCAGCTCAAAGGCTGAAGCCCGAACTTCCCTTGGGTCCGTGCCCACACTCTCTTTGTCCGGACTCAATCTTTTTGCTTTCACCCCTAGCCAACTGTTCACCTATGGCAATCCAATCCCCAATATTTGACTACTTGTTCGATTACTAAATATCACTTGTAGTCAGAGAATCTGGTTCAGGGCAAGCTTCCATTTGTGACAGCTTTGGCGTATCGTTCGCCAACGGTACCACAAAAAAGGAAAAGTTTAGATTCGTCTGATATTTCTGATTCGTCAAGCGAAGGAAACAATGCACAGCGTCCACGCCTGTCGCATGCCCATCCTGATCCATCTACGCCTAGTCCTGCACCTAGTCCAAGGCCATCCCGGATCAGCGTTGTGATACCATCGCCAACATCAAAGCAAAAGCGCGAAATTGCAATTGCACGATGTATCGACAATGTGAATGGAATGGACGCTCATATCTTTCCGACAACTGATGAAGAGGAAAGGGTTAAGAAGGCCGCATACCCTACTACGAGGGGACGTGTTGACCGTCGTTCTGTGCCATTGTCATTTCAATCGACCCCAACGCTTGACTTACCTTTACCTACAAACACAAACCACCTTGCAAAGCTCCGTCACACTCTCGACGAGAAGCTAAAGCGCATCAATGGGCCTGCGGTTATTCCAACTGTTGATTCCCCGACACGTCTTGCTAAACTAGCCGATAACTTTGTGTTCATTAACGGTTATCAGTACCGTGAGGGTGTTGAACGAATCCCTGATGACTCGGACTTCAATATCGGATGTGCATGCACTGGGGCTGACGGCTGTGACCGTTTCACATGTGATTGCCTAAGTAAGGAAGAAGATTCTGAGGATCGAATCGTTCCTTACGAGATCTGCGAGAGTAATCGTAGATTGATTGTCGCGACTAAGAGTTTCCTCAAGCGTAAGGCAATCATTTACGAATGCAATTCGCGTTGTGGCTGTAACGGGGAAAGATGCTGGAACCATGTTGTTCAGAAAGGAAGGACTATCAGGTTGGAAATCTTTGACACTGGATCTCGCGGCTTCGGTTTGTCTCACTTTATCACCTCTTTCCCTAACTATATATACTAATCTGATTTGATTCTTAGGCCTTCGGTCCCCCGACTTGATCCACCGCGGTCAATTTATTGATCTTTACCTCGGTGAGGTAATTACCAAGGCCGAAGCCGATGAGCGTGAGAATTTAACCGATGGTTCGCACGCCCAATCCTACCTTTTTTCCTTGGATTGGTATGTTAAGGACGACGACGATGAAGAGCGGAACATGAAGGTCATCGACGGCCGTAAATTTGGTTCTGCGACACGATTTATGAACCACTCTTGCAATCCTAACTGCAAGATCGTTCCCGTGTGCACCACCAATCATGCCGATGAATACCTTTACAACCTTGCCTTTTTCGCAAACCGGGATATTGCCCCTGGCACCGAATTGACGTTCGACTATAATCAGGGTGAGGAGAATACCACTCCTCAGAAGATTGATCCCGAGGCCGTGCCATGCCTATGCGGTGAAACCAAGTGTCGTGGACAATTGTGGCCAAATAAGCGTAAGGGCCAGGGATCAAAGCCTTAAAAGGCTCTTTGTTTCAACCGCGCTGTGACCCGCCCAGCCAACCGGCCAATATCTACCAACCGGCCAACATCCTCACATCTTTGTTTCTTTGCGATTTCTCATACCCCCAGCATATGTGATTAGCGATTTGGCTTTTTTTGCATAGTCATGACCATAACGCAAGTGCATCAAAGCATCAACTACCCTTCTTTCAGGCATCTTCAAGCTCTGGCATCTTGATTTTTTTTCATCTCTGGTATCTTTGTCTACCTTTGCCTTTGCCCTATGTTAGGTTTACAATACCCTGACGAGAATATGTATGATTAATAACAAACAACAAATCAAGTTCAAGTTCAAATTACTCGATATAGCCCTGGCGCTATCATTCTGTTCTATGGCCAAGCCTGGATGATGATGATAATAGAAACAATGATATTGGTATGACATCCGAATCAGGGTTATGGATAGTACAGTTGGATATATGTCGATAGAACAAGGTTAACCTGACTATACATACCACTATACTTTCAAATTCTTGTAAGCCGACAGACAGCCTATTGTGTAGAGTATAAAAAAGCTCTAGGTTTTGACTTGTATCCTAACACCCTGCTATAGTCCGAACTTAACGTAGTTGATTTAACCTCTATTGAAAAGGGTCCTAGTAAGGTTTTATATAGGCTACCTAATTAGTAAGTCACCCAAACCCTTGGAACCGTGTCACAATTTATAAGCTATGCACCCGGCACCAGGGATCCAGCGCGTGTTCCAAGGTTACACATGGTCCGTGCAGCAACGCCATTGTGCCTTTCCTTACCTATATGGGTAGCAATGTTTTTAAAGAAATTTTTCTATAAATGTTCATCGATGGTGTTTGTGTCTCCATATTCAGCTAATATTAAATCATGGCAGCCAATATCACTGCTTATTACCTATATATGCAGGCAGTTCCCAGGCTGTGAGCAAACCCTATAGTGCCATGACCCTATATGTATACGAGCCTAACTTGGCTATGTACTCGACAGACTTGTAACTCGCTGGTCCGTATAGAGTAGGCTAGAGCAGAAATAGATAACTAAAGGTGAGATATATATTTGTGTGTTTATATCGTGGGGGTATGTCCTAGTATTCTAGGATACCCAGATCACTTGTAGTAGTGAAGGGCCTTGGTGGCCTATCACGACTTCGGATTGTTCATCTCAATAAATTATTAGGGAGAGCTGACAACTAGATACGCGCAACTATGTATCTCAGCCCACTGGGCAGGTATATTTTGTTAGGCCGGGTCTCATACCTCTCATCATTAACACTCTACTCTTTAAAATAAAACACATATTTCAAGGTAAATATACACCATCCATTGTTAGATATATAGATATATCCTGTAAATAAGACTGAGTGGCGACTGTACACCGTCGATCTCTATATCCCGATGTAGTTGCGGATGAGCCCAATCTAAGGCAAGCAACCCTACGAATATACAACCTCGAGCAAATAACCTTGGAACCATTGGGTCTTCATTTATGCAACTGTTCTTCGCAACAAGAGGTCAAATGTAAGCCCCAGAAAATACAATGTCGACATATTTCCAATCTCCAGCCAGCCACTATACAACATTTCCTATTTCACATTCTTTTCCGAAAACAGAAAAATCCAATGCCACATCTGCAAGAGGAACAAGACAATTAAATCCAAATAGAGTATCACAGCTCAAACCGATTGAAAAGGAACAAGAACAAGAAAATGTTAAAATGTTAAAAAGATAGAAGCAAGAGAGAGTGAAGCCTAAGCCCGTCCCTCCATAACTTCGAAGATCCCGCCCATCACAAATTTAGGCGTCATCTCACCCACCCCTAAATCCACCGGCCGCGGTTCCATCAGCCCCAACCCCTGTCTTTCAATAGAATCCTCATGGCATCGCGACCGCTCCTCGCTCAGCGCCAGATCGGTTTTAGAGGGTCGTTGGCGGAGGACCATCGATGAGCGGCCGCGTAGGACAGCGCAGGGGGGTACACTGATGCCGACGTTGTGGTCGGAAACATGGCGGGAGTGATGTCCAATGCTGGTGGTTTGTCCGAAAGTGTCGGATTGCCGTAGGAATGTGTGGGGCTTGGAGGGGGGAAGGATAGGTTGAAGAGATGGTGTGGAGAGGCGTGAGACGAGTGGGTGGATGTTGGGGAGGAGGGTGGTGAGGTTGTTGTTGAGCTTGGACTTGAGTCGGTGCCTGATTTGGGGCTTTGACTTCTGGTGCGAAGAGACGTCTTCAAAGAGAGAAATGGTGAGGCGATATGGTTCATTGTTGCTTCGGTTATAGTTTTGGTTTCTTGGGTTTGGATATATAAAGGCGTTGGAGACTATGTCATGGTACGCCGTAGATTGAGAGAGGAATGAGGTTATTTGTAGGATAGGATATGTCGGGATTAGGTTTATTAATCGTACGGGTTGACTGCAAGGACTGTGCTGCAGGGAGGGTTAAGACACGGAATTGAACGCATGCGGATGAATGTGATTGTCCCTGCAAACGGATATACAATGGCTTTGAGCTTGGGGATTTCGAGGATATATTGTCTTTTTGCCGGTTTCATAATGGGTATGTGGTATGTAGACTTGTCTACATACGCATCTATGTAAGTTGTCATATTCTATAGGTCTCTGCCAATTTCCTCTTTCGGCATCAATAGTAACTAGTTCGACCCACTTGGTTCATGCAGTCTTCTATAGTTTAATTGATTTTTTCGATGTATATAGTCAATAATCGTATCTATGGAAAAAAAAAAAAGGATACCCAAAATGCTCCCTGCTATGCAAAATGCTCAAAGAGAGTAGTATACAAGCCAGAAACCCCAATGGGCATGGGAAAACAAAAAAAATGAAACCCCTCTAGGGAATGCTAATGAAAAAAAAAAAAGTCGAAACCCCAAAATCGCCCTACTATCCACTTCGTAATCACATCAAAATTCACATAGATATGCACAACATTTTATTCCGAAGTGCGATCACCCGATCGTCGCTGCGTGAAGCTTCGCCGGATACTCTCACCCCAGGCAGAGTTATCTAGCGAATGCATAACATCCTGTACATTCATACTGTTATTCTGACGCGAAGGATCGGTAACCGAAAGCGCCTCATGCGTTTCGCCGGCATCGAACGAAGTGCGATCCCCATACATGTGACGCGGTGTGATTGAGGGACTGATACTCGACCATTCCCTCGTAGGTGTGCTGGAGCCGGATACTGACCCGCTCAAATTGGTATTGATGCGAGGTAGAGCATTGCGGTGTGCAGTTGGGCTGGACTCGGCTCTTCTGTGGTGCGAGACGGGGGAGAGCATAGGGGGGAAGTTTCCGTCCAAGTCGGGTTGGGTCTGGGGTGTGATCGCACCGGAAGCTGGCTCGTCGTGCTCCTCGACTGGATCGTCGACAAAAATCTCCGGCACAGTGAATGTCGGGACCACACTCATCCGGCCATTCTTCTTGCGGTCAATCTTGCGACGGAATTCGCGTGACCAGTATAGGGTATCAAAGAAACCGACGACGGTATTTCGACGGACAGCTTCATCCACCCGTTGCAGCCGTGCTCGACGACGTAAGAATTCTTCAAGGCGCAAACTCTTGCTATCGCTAATCACGTTGTGATGTGCGAGGATCATCAAGCACTGGTGGAAGGAGATACCACGATCGGGGTCGGCTGACACAAGAATTTCTTCGTAGAAGGTATTCAATCGTTTGCGCCGCTCTCGAATGCTTTGAACTGGAATCCGCGAGATGATCCGAGAGAGCTCTTCGATATCTACACCGTACGAGACACGCGAGTTTCGCCGCATTGAGTGTGGCTCAGCCAGCGAGACCATCGAGTTTCTTGCGTAAGAACCCATTGAGTTCCTCTGAGGGTCGATCCGGCATTTTTCCAGGATATGTCCAACCGAGAACTCCCCCTCGTAGATTCGCATTGCAAAGACACCAGAGAGCTCACCGAGTAGTCGAGGGAACTGCTCCGTGGATATAAAGCCTGTCCCATCTGGATCATACGTGGCCCATGCCTGTTTGAACCGGCGGATCTCTTCGCGACTGATCGCGTAGAGTCCGCTACTCCGCTGGTAGACATAGGAGAAACTTTCGAAAATCAATGAAACAAACAGCGAGACGAAGATGTACATGCTGATCAGGTTCCATGCAATGAAGAGTGTTCGAGCCCACGGCGCACTTCCACAGTCGTCGTCAAGGAAGTTGGAGTTCTGCGTGCACAAGGGCGGAGTCATAGTGGCGAAGTCCTCCATGTACTGATTCCACCCTTCGCCGCAACTTGCTCGGAACAGCAAGATCAGTGATTTGGGCACATCGCGGAAATTCTGGTTGTGATCCTCATTTTCACCAAACTTGGTGAGACCGAACGCCTGGTTCATTGCAATGCCAAACACTAAGAACAGAACGAACCAGGTAGCTAGAAGGTTTCCAATCACGGATAAACTGGCTGCCGCTGTCTTGAAGAGCTGGTCAAGCTGGTTGTTCCTTGGAATAAGCAACAAAGCAACAGACACAAGGAAAAGCTTGTTGAGCTTCACCACGATATGATCTTCGTTGTATGCAATGTCAAGGACGGAGGTGACGAAAGCGCCAGGAACGACTATGAGAGAGAACAAATCCCATGAGCTTCGGCTGAACCGATGCCACCCAAGGCCAATCAGTCGAATTAAGACATTTGCAACGTAGACACACATGAATGCCAAAAATATGACAGCTAGATTGATCAATCAGTAATACGCAAAATATCGAATCAAGGACACAAAACTTACCTCGAACCAATTCCCACCAGGCAAGCTCGCCATAGTATTCCAGCACAAGTAACAGCAGGTGAGCCACAAGGGTGCAAGTCACGAACCACGCCCACCGGCCATGCTTCTTAACGGAAATTCGATAACACCACAGCCGCAACTTCTGGTTCTGGTTCTCAAAGGATCGTTTTGAGGGCGATATCTGTCGGAGAAGTTTCCGCAATTCCAACCAAGAACGTTGCTCGGCTGTAAGAAAGGCAACACCAGTTTGTTCTGTGTAATTGCGCATGAACACAGACACAAATAGTGTCAGAACAAACACAGCTCCAAGTAAATTGAACACCACGAAGAATAACCCGTTCTCCGGCGCCACTAGATCGATTGGTTGAGTCATCTTTCCAGTGATACTCATTGCACGTTCTTGTACATCGGTCCAGCCTTCTTGGGAGACAATTTGGAACAAAATGAAGAGGGAGTTACCAAAATTATCAAAGTCATAGAAAGAATTCCCAGCCACTCGTGGTGCAAGCACCTCCCACTTGTATGGCGAGCTGGCATATTCATTGACGCAGTTGACCAGGTCTCCCGAGAAATCACCGTCATTGCAACTGGCCATCTGCCCGTTGAAAAGGTTGACTCCATAGATTGCGAACGGTATGAGGAAGCTCATAGAAACCGCAGCGGCAGCAATGACCTTCCATCCCCCGACAATGATGACAGAGTGAAACGTGTCCTTGGCGCTGTCGCTGACATTCAGAAGGCGCAAGGCCCTCAGCGCTTTAAAGGCGCCAATGGCCCTGGAAACACTCCAGTCCTGTTTAAGGGAGCCGCCAACACTGATCCACAGCGTGATCAACACGATTCCGTCGATGAATCCCCAAGAACTGCGGAAAAACGCGTTTGGAGTCCAGAAGAACCCATCAGCAATCACTTTGATTGTCGCTTCAATAGTAAACACAGCAGCAAAGCTCAAGTCAGTATAGACGAACCAGTTGCGGTCCCTGCGGAAATGTTGCCGCTGATACAAGGGTGTTGTAATGCAGGCGAGAAGCACCATGGCGACAATAGCTGTATAAATGAAAGCAGAAAACGCATACCACACCGGCTTGTATGGATCCACGCCTTCAACTCGTTGATGGCCGCGCCCTGGGCCGACAATTCGTTGACAAATCTTCCGAACGGAAGACTTCGGCGAGAAGAGGAACAGTGACTTGTTGTAGTTGGGGTGCTTTACGAGATAGGCTCGCTGGTCCCGTTTTCTCTGCTCTGCCGCAGTAACAACTTCTCTTGCCATGGTCCTCGGATCCAACTCCTCGTAAGCACGTGAAAACTTCAGCTTCGAGTAGAAAGGATTTGGTTCCCTCCGCATAACGAGTGTGGTGGCCTTTGTCCATAAAAGTGAGATCCAGCCTGGTTGAATGGCCTCTTGAGTCGCGCCTTCGGGCATTGTGCTCACTCTTCGTGTGTCCTTCGGTCTTCCTTGTTCTTGGTGCTTGTTCTCTTCTTCGAGGAACTCTTGCACCACCGCGTCTTTCAGCAACATTTCCAACGCTGCAGGACCATGGTCAAGTGGATCTTTGTACCGGGCTGAATCTCGGCCCATGCGAAGGATTTTCGAGAGTGCAAGGTTTCCTTGGGGCGCTCCATGGACTTGTTTCTGCTCCAAGAATGCCCTGACCTGGTGCATTCGTTTTTCGTCTTCCGAAACATCAAAGCTTTCCTGAATGACAGCAATGAACATGTTCAAGATGATGAAGTTGGCCACAATGAACCAAAGAATAATGAATGCCGCCGAAATCCAGGCTGTGTTGAATTGATTTGTATATGCGGTTGCATTGTACAGAATCGTGGTCCAATTCTCACTCGAAAGAATTATATACATTCCAAGGAATGAGTTGTAGATATCCGAAAACCTAATCACGATTGACGTGCCACTTGGATCTGTAGGTGGAATCTGACCTCGAAAAAGCTGTGTTGCAAAAATTGCAGATAAAAAGGTCATCAAGAACAGGAAAAATATCAAGTTGAGCAGACCGACAGTATTGCGGAATACGACCACGATCAGCTTTCTGGTCACAGAGAACGCCAGTACCACTCGATAGACCCGAAGGATCTGGAACATGGTGAGAACCGTGTATGCACGGCCTGAATTCCTGATAGGCGGTATCTGGATGATGCAGGTAATGATGGCAAGGAAAAGATCTGTCAAATTACGACGCTTTCGATGAAACATGCGCCAATCCGAGGCAAATCGCAAGATAATCTCGACCAGGAGAATGATAGTGACAACAGTCTCGGTGGTATCGATAATTCGGGCTAGACTGGCAGGCATAGAGGAGCTTCTGAGCGCTTGCACGACAAGGTCGAAAATGATGAGGCAAACCCAAATCCACTCGGTTTGATCATACATACGCTTGAGAAGACTGATTTTGCGAGACAATGTCTCATCTTCGTCGACAGCATCAAGTTTTTGGACAGCAAAAGCGCTGCGCTTGCTCTCTTCTCGAATCACTTGGAATGAGTGCGTGATAACCGCGACTAGCAAGTTCACCAACCACAAACTTAAAATGACGAACCCACAGGCAAAGAACAGAGCAGCTGGAAGGTAGTCAGTGTCGGTGGTGTAGTAGAGCAGGTCGGTAAATGTATTGGAGCTCATTATCACGAAGACTAACTCCAGGGACCCCACGATGTTGTCAAAGCTCATAGTTCCGTTGTAAGGATTGCCACCTTCCACGCATACAGAGCCTTGAGGACAAATGTACCCTTTGGGGCTGAACCCTGTTTCACCACCAGTGGAGTTGAGCCACGCCATTTCTTTTCCCGTGTCCTTGTCGAGGTAGCCGCCACAAAATTGCAATGTACCCCATGCATCGTTCAATGTGTAATTGTTCTGGCCCGCGGGGTCAACCCAGACACAAGTTCTCCTGAAACTGGATTTGAAACTCTGGACGCCGATGATGGCGAAAAGAAGCCAGAAGAAACCGATGAGAAATGCGACATGAACGAGCAAAGGAGCTGCTCGCTTAAGGCTTCGAAGAATTACCTAGAGGTAATTGGTCAGTATCTCAAAAATCACATTCTCGCAACAGATAACTTACCGAGGTGCCATTGGTCATGGCAAGGAGACGCAAAATTCGGAGACAGCTCAGCATGCGAAAGATGTACAGTTGATGTGTTTTCTCTATGCCCGAGATTGAAAGGAAAAAGGATATCCAAAAAGTGACAACAGCTACAAAATCAAGCCGGTTAAAAGAGTGTCGAAGGAACGCACGATGCGCAAGCCTAATACGACGTTTGTGTAGAGGATCATCGTAGACTTCGGGGTCCAATCCGTTCATCCCTGTAAATGTTCGCAGGATTGAAGCTTGGGGCTCGGCCTGGAGCATCGATGCTTTCTTGATCGTCCCCTGCCGATGCGGTGTAATCAGGTTCCTGCCCTTCTCCGCGATTGCTTTCCTGATGCCGAGGCTGCGATTAAGCGTGCTGTACTCGACAGGATTGAGGATAAGTCCAGATACCAATATCTTAGAGCCAATCTCAAGTGTATAAATGATGAAAATGGCTAAGAAAACCCAATCAAACTTGCTGCTTCCCCATACCGCTGAATCGGGGGAATCAGGAAGCGCATCTTCAACAGTCAACAAGATGGTCTGGATGACAATAACAATCAAGATAAAGGGCTCCATGAAAGAATTCACCAGGATATCACACAACCATAGTCGTAGAGGGTTGTTCGGGCCCAGAATTCCAAGGGACCTGCCTCTAAAGGGATTGTTCCGATCCCTCCATGATCTACCAGAAGCACGCTTCTCGCGAGCTGCTTGGGCTTCGGGTTTGGAGACATGTGCATAATCTACCATCGCTGGCAAGACCGGCGGTCCGTCCATTCGTGCATTTTTATCAAGCTCCTCCCTTTCAATCGATTGCTGTACTATTTCTGGTTCGTTACTCAAGTTGACCACTCGCTGGGACATGGATTTGACCATTGAGCTGGCGCGCTGCAGAGCCCCGGTGGATGCCGATGGGGACAGAGAGCGCGATCGATCCCTGACACTACTACCACGACGGCTTCCCATCCCATCTTCCAGGTGAGGAAGATCATCGCCCAGTCTTGAACCACCAAAGTGCACAGAGTGACCAGCGGTGTCAGTACTATGTCGCTCTTCTGCGCCGGTGGCACCGCTCATTGGTTGTAGATATCGAGGATCGGTCAACCGTACCCTATCATCTTCGTCCCCTGGAGGGTTGTAGCCGTGCGGATCGTGCGGATCATAAGGATCTAGAGGTATAACGTCAAGGTCGGAAGCAGCATCGTCAAAGTCACGGTTTGGTGATGGGTCTGAGGGCGATGCCCTTGACTGTGGCCCATTGAAACTGAGGCCAACCGACGATATCGCTTGCGCGAAACCACCCAGGTCATCAATCGGCGAAGCAACTTCTGTATAGTTCGTTTGTGATGGTTTAAATGGGTTCCTGCTCGGTCCAGCCGAATCAATAGGCGACTCTTTCGCAATACTCTCATAATTTCTTCGCGAACCCCTCCCGATTAATGATGGTCGCGAGAAGAGACCAGTCCCGGCGCGGCTTCTCCCACGCTCGTGAAGCGCATCTCCCGCTTTCGAGAGATCTTGGAGAGGAATTTGGTTTGGCGGGGCATTTTCGTCATTATCAAAGTTCTGGCTTTCTGGCGCCATCGTCGGGCAGGATCAGATATTATGGAATCGCAGACATCGCAGGGCGAACGGGGTATGCTCGGGAACTATTAGCGACACGTGTGTAGGAGAAGGGACGTAGAGAAAAGAAACGAGTGTGGGTATAAAACAGAAAAGATAAGAGACAGGTTTGAGATGTGGGCAAAGGGCGTCCGGATCGCAACTGCACTAAGGACGAGTCCCGGCATGCGCCTCGCCATTTCAAACGTCGTGGCATACCTCGGCGATCCCTAATACATGTATTGTACGCATATTGACATTATTTACTTCCATCGCTTGTATTACTACAATATTTCAATTGAATTGAAATTACAAGTTTCAAACGCTGACGAAGCCTTGCTTAAACAGTGTTGCCTGGTGGGGGTTCCAGATGTCCCTTTTTCCAAAAATAGTTCGACTTCAGAAAAAAAAAAAAAAAAAAAAAAAGAGTGGACAGTCTTGAAGGTCTTGAAAGTCTCGATATAGATGTATTTTCTTCAATCGGTATCCATCTGAGAATCCTTTTCTTTAACATGTTGCCGAACGCCATCCAGGAACGCATCTACCGCATCGCCGCCACCAAGGGGTACTCCACCTCTCCGCATAAACCCTCCATTAGCCACGGGGATCTGCAAAGCCTCACTAATACTCGGAAGCCCACCGTCACGGAGGGCTACAGTAAGACTGGCCAAACTTTGCATGAATTGGGGAGAACGTAGCACTTTTCGGAGAATATCCTTTTTCTGGGAGAGGTCGAGGGACAGGAGAGCAGCTTGGGCAAGTTCCGGGTCTGTATCGGCTTCCGAAGCCTCCTCGGCATTGCCCTGGGCCAGTAAAAGCAGTGCGGGGGGCAAGAAACTCAGAAGATGATCAGTAATATTGGTATCAGCAGAATCGATAAATTGCAGCGTGGTCGAAGGTGGAAGGAGGTCTTGGAGTGTCGTAGATGGTCGTTCGGGATCTTGGGATGGGCTCTGGGTCTGGCGGCCGCCCAGAGACTTCAAAAAGTCCTGGACGACCGACGCTGGATCTTCCTCGGCAGCTGCTCTGCGAATTAGGAGGGTAAGTTAGCGTGGACGGCCTAAATCAAGGCTGTCAGAGATATGTACCTACGCTCGTCCACCGTCGGCACCACCCTCTCGTGACTCCTGTCCCTCCTCACGCACGTCACCGCCGGTCGCATCGGGGCCAGCGCCGCCGCTGCCTGTGCTGTGGTATCGGCCACGATCATGGTCGGTGCCTTCCACGTCCTCCATGGTCTCGTCGTCATCACCGCCCGAGGGCCCGCGAGGAAGGTTGGCAATCTCGTGCTCTACATCAACATCTTCGCCCTGCAGCAGGACATCGACAATTTCTCCAAGCTTCAAGTCACGGGGGCTAAACCAGCTTGGGTCGCCGTTCTCATGCTGGGAGTGGGATTGCATCCAGAACAGGTATCGCTGAGAGCTGGAGGAGAACTTCAGAACAAAGATTCGGCCATTTGTAGCGTTCCTGCCGGACGGCTTGTAGGGAGTAAAGCTGCCATCAGAGGGAATCATGACGAGGTCAAGCTCGGGCTCATCTAGTGAGGCGCTACGCGAGCGCCAGCAAAAGTGGATAAGATCATCTTCAGAGTAAAGGTAGACATAGCCTGGTGTAGGCTTCGGCTTCACCGCAGCAGGAGTGCTAGAGATCTGAATTGAAACAGTCAGTAAAGCTGTAGTATAGAAATGAATACATCCGAAGGATAGAATTGATCAACTATCCTATCAGGTCCGGAAAGCTAAGCTCACGTACATCCAGGTCGCAGATACCTGCTTTGAAGGTGATGATTGGAGCTATCGACATAATGGGAATTTGATTCTGAACAGGTCCAACAATAGAAGAAACTGTATTGACAGAATTGACACCCTTCAGGTAGATAAAAAGAGGTTGTGGTGAAAGATGTAAGAGATGGAGTCTATAGACAGAGAGAGGCTGCGAGCGGTATACGTCAGTTGTTTGTTTCAAGCAGTACTTCTGCGCAAGTGGTTTTACAGTTGCCCGTATAATATGGCCTTAGATATATGGCATCAATATGCTGAGTCACCGCTTTCCAAAATCGGCTAGGGCTGTCGGTTAAACACGTGATAGGGCTTTGTACACACAACCCTCGACGAATTCCCGCACTGGAGCCGACTCCGCTTAGCAGTCCAAGTCCTCACCCAAATCTCCAACAACCACCCCGACAACCATTCATCCTTCGCCAGCAGCCATCATGTCGGACGGCCAGACGAAGCAGTTCGGGAAGAGCCAGAGGGTCGTGCCCGCCGACAAGGCCCAGAAGTGGTACCCCGTGGACGATCAGTCGCAGCCCAAGAAAGTCAGTACACCCTATGAAAATAGGACGCCACAAATAAGAGGAGGACATACGACTGGCACACGATCTGCCCCGATGATTGCGACGATAGCACCGGTATTCTGAGGAAGAGCCTTTGTGAATTACGGGGCGACATCCAACCAGACACCGGTGTCAATCGATGGCACAAAAGTTCATCAAATCTTGTGATCTTGTCCGAATCGCATATCATCCGGGGAAGATCAGGCTATGGCGATGGAGATACTTGGGGATTCACGGGAATCGCTGGAATTTGTCTGACATCAGAGACTAACTACTTTGTGTGTTTACAGGTTCGCAAGACCCTGCGTCCCGCCAAGGTCCGCGAGACCCTCGTTCCCGGCACCATCCTGATCCTCCTCGCTGGCCGTTTCCGTGGCAAGCGTGTCATCCTCCTCAAGTCCCTCGACCAGGGTGTCCTCCTTGTCACCGGTCCTTTCAAGATCAACGGTGTCCCCCTCCGTCGCGTGAACTCCCGCTACGTTATCGCCACTTCCAAGCGTGTCGATATCTCCGGTGTTGACGCCAAGTCCATTGAGAAGATCTCCGCTCCCGGATACTTCACCAAGGACAAGAAGGCTGAGAAGAAGACCGAGGAGGCTTTCTTCAAGCAGGGCGAGAAGGCCGAGGTATGCATCTTGTCTAGGGCATCACATTTGCAGTGATCAAACGCTAATTACTTTTTTTCGTCTTTACAGAAGAAGGTTGTTGCCAGCGCTCGCGCCAGCGACCAGAAGGCCGTTGACCAGGCTATCCTTGCTTCCATCAAGAAGGAGGATTTCCTCGCCAGCTACCTCGCTACCACCTTCAGCCTCCGAAACGGCGATAAGCCCCACGAGATGAAGTGGTAAATTTGCGGTAGCCGTGGGTTCGGTAGATAGTTGGGGAGGACCATTTTCCAACGAGGGGCGGCTCGATTGCAGATCGGCATCCTTTCGCGACTTTCGGGGGGCCGGTTTCATGAACCATGTCATGTAATTCCTACGGGATCCGTCAAAACACTTTTCACTTTTCTTATGATTTGCGGTTAATTCGGACATCCGGATGTCGTTCACATGTTTCAAGAAACCCGTTCCTTTTGCGCGTGGCTGATTTTGCATGAAGCTGCGTTATGAAGAAAGACTTCAAGCAAAAAAAAAAGATTAAAAATCACCTCGTTCCAGCAGGCGGGCTGGATTCTCTTTTATGTTCAGTATGACCTCCCATTTCAAGGTTCAGGCGGCAATCCAAAATTGGGCAATTCCTTCGATTCATTAATCCCGAGGTCCTCTAGTATATGTAAGACACTAAAATATAAGGTTGCTGGGCCTTGTCTCTAAATCGATGTAGTGGATATCCCCATTGTGTGGAACTGGAGTACGATCTCGAGATCTAGGCTGGACTATATGGTCATGTAACATGAAATTGTATCGTCTTGTGGCGCATCTCCGGTGCTCCATTGCCATTATACGTGCTGTTCAGCTATATTACCGTGGCAATCGATGCAATGAGGCGGTTGTGCGACAAAATTTCTGGGTCCAATATCCCCTGAGTCTAGTGGCAGTCCGCGTAAGGAGAAATATATATAGTGGCGCCAACCACGTATACCCCTACGGCCACTTGGGTATCACTGGAATGAGTTTCAATTAGTGTGATATATGTTGCAGCAAGCCTTTTAATGCTGGCATGAAATACTGATAGCAAAGGCATGGAGCCCAAAAGTAAACCCTGTGAATATATATTATAGGTTTAAGACGTACACATTGAACCACCCCCAACTCTTGCTCCTAATAAAAACAACGAAAGAGAAATTTACACTGCAGTCTTAGGTAGTTATTTATATACTCGTACTTGTCAAACGGACATCTCATCGTCGCCTGTTCTTTCCCGAAGAACCCGCAACAGCCTTTCGCTTCGAAGCCTCATACGCTCTCCGCATATCGTGGTGTTCATCCGACTCATCACTCGAATTCCCATCGCTATTCGGGTCCCTAACAACAGTACCAAAAATCCAATCCATTATACCCCATGGGCCAAAGTTTCCCCTTGCACCCATCAACAAGTGCATATCTGTGCGACGGGCGATTCCGCCCAAAAATAGGTTTGTCGGCATGACAGTATACCCAGAGTATGCGAAGGTCTCTTCGAGGGAGATAAACAGTAGGTACAAAAGATATGTAAGCATATGGAAGCGGAAGATGATAGCTGGCGCATAGGTCGGGATGAACTTGGTGACCAGGTAGGGGATCGGGTGGTCGTAATGCGCAGTCAATGGGAACGGAGCAGGCAACGCATGATACCAAGACCGGTGCCATCTGGCAAGCACAGGGGACCATCTCGAGTGTAGAGCATATCGGTGAAGGACATACGTGAGGAACTAAAAAAGGAAGGTCAGAATGTTAGCAAGTTGGACTAGATACCAAGGAAAGCGTATCGCAGCTGTGTAGTTCGGAAATCTCAATAAACTTACTTCTCGGCCTAGCATTGCCATAGTCAAGTCCTTACATATCTCAAATGGCATGGGAAGCTTCAACGACACCTTGAGCGCACTGCGCTTGCCAAGCGTCTGGACAAGTATCGTCTCAAGTACTCCCTGAACAGCGATACTCAAGCATAAATTGAACAATGACCATCCGGCGATCTTGAGTTCCTTCGCGTGGATCCGGCGTCGCCTCCTCCCACCTGGTAAGCCTGTAGCGCCATGCGCCTTTATAAGAATGGCGGCCGACGGAGTTAGGATATCAAAGAGGAAAAAGAGAATGGAAGGTAGTGCAAAGAAGAGTACGCGCACGGCGATCGTTCCGAACAGTTCCACGCGGAGTCGGGAATGCGACAGTACCAATGTTGACCAAGTCAGGTAGAAGAAGAGGAGGTTCAGGCTGGTGCTGTAGGATGACAGGACCGGAACCAGGAAGATGGACAGCATGGGTATTGATAGGAGGGCTTCCATTTTAAAAAACTTGTGCAGTGACTGCTGTTAATGGCGTTGAAAGACTCGAGGGTGAATTTTGGTTGTATCCTGTGCTATCTCGATCGTCGAGTCTGTCGGGGGGAGCGAGGGTTTTGTTTCTGAGATCTCTAGCAATCTCTCTTTGTGCCGAGAATAGTAATATGTAGATAGTTGCCATTCATATTTGGCACAATGACTCTTTGAAAATTAGTTCGGGCAAAGCAATTGAAGACAAAGAGATTTCGAGGTCGTAAATGGGGTGGCAGGATAAAAGATAAGCGTGGTTATCTACATCATACGTCATCATCCCTGGACGTACACCGCGGAAGTACGACTGCATCAATGAAAGGTTCAAATTGCTAAAAATACGAGAATTGACATGACTTTATTTCGTAATGTACAATAGGAATGCTCAACAAAGGTGAGAGCGGATTGAAAAGTGTATAGGTGTTGGGCGGGGGCGATCGAGGGAGGTGCCGTACAGACAACGCGCTCAGGGTATCATCATACATGAAGCAGTCGACAGACCATGTGAAGAAAATAAGAATACATCCGATCGTTATGAAGCTGGAGTACTGGTACTGTTTGGAATCCCGTTCTGCTTACCCCAAGCGAATGCCTTGCTGCGAAGGTCTGGGATGACCTGGAGGAATACCAGGTTGCTGAGCCAGCTGAGCATAGTGTCACCGACAATGCTATTTTTCGGGCTGGGCCCAAGGGCAGTGCCTTTCATGACAGCACCAATAAAGTTGGTAGTGACCAGATACTCCCCACGTTCCAAGGCACGGATAGAAATTTGCGCGACCTCCGCTGGTGTCTGGGGCTTGTCGGCCTCCTCGAGTTTCTTGGTCAATTCAGGCTTAATCTTTTGTTCGTTGTCATAGCCGGGTGAGAGAATCCCCATGGGGAAAATAGTGTGGATCTTGACATCTGCAGCCGGGGCGTCATTGCGGTGCCGTTGGGTATAGGCTCCATTGTACATTTCGATTTCCTGGCTTAGAGTATCGGATAGAGAACGAATGGCTGCCTTGGCAGGCGAGTACGGCGAATATCCAGCGATGGGAACGAATGCAAGTGTAGAGCAGGTAAAAATGAGATGTCTCCGGGGTGTTTTCATCTGTCCACTTGGGGCAACGGGTGTTAGCCAGTTGCGCAGGGTGGCATGAGCTGTGTTGGCCGCAGTCCAATAGATTGTGTCCATTTGCTGTCGGTGATCTTGAATGGGCACATCGACGAAATATCCCGGACGGGAGAAGCCCGCACAGCACCAAACAACGTCAGGAGCAGCTCCAGAATTCCACGCTGTCACTTCTGCGATCATTCGTTCGCACTCGGCGGGATCAGTGAGATCGGCGCTGATATAATGGAATTTCTGTTTAAAAATATTCCCAGCCTTGGTCTGGCCAATGGGTGAGTAACATTGATCAGCTGATCATGGGGAGATGTCTGACCTTCATCTCATCAACGGTAGCCTGCAGCTTGGAGACGGTGCGGGCAACAACGACAACGTGTGCGCCTTTTGCGGATAGCTCGAGTGCGACAGCTTTGCCCATGCCATCGGAGCCGCCGGTGATCACTATAGTCTGTAAGACTCAGTCAGCAAGTACCGTAATGATCACGTAGTTTTGCACATACCTGTCCCTCCACATTGAACTCGTTTCGGGACCAGAGCCCAAACATCTTAGCAATAGTGTAAATAATAATTGTGCAAAGGAATGCGGAAGCGCCCAGTACTGGGGTCGATGTATTAATATACGAGGAGCGCAATGAGGAGAGAAGCTGAGGCAGAGGAGAACGAGCAATTAACTCGCGAGGATCCATCGTGGATGAATGGCAGGTGCTTCTGTTGTCATTCGAAATGGAAGGCACAAGGGGCAATAAATTAGTGACACTGAAATACCGAAGATCGTTCTGCTTTTGACGTTCAAAGGTGGGAGGTCGTAATATTACCAGTATCTGGATTTCCCGAAATGCAAACAGAGCAAAACGTCCCCACTCGAGGCTAGCGCAGCCAAGGCGGTGAGAGGCCAAAAAATAATTTTATCACAGTTTATCGGCCGGACTGACTGGTCTGGATTGGTTCACTGTCGTTGAATTTCTACACACAACAATGGGCAGTAAAAAGAGAAAAGCTGGTCGCCCAGCGCAACCGAAAACAGCCCCTGAACCGTCCAAGTTCGATATCGAAGAGCGATTCGACGACTCTGAAGATGACTTCCAAGCCGGCCGGGACCAGATTCTACTTGAGGAAGGCCCGGAGGCAAAGAGACGGCGGAGAGTTGCTGAGGAAGGTGCGTACCTCTAATTGTGATATAACCTGATGCAAATGTTGTCTTACTGACTGTCACAGAGGAATTGATCCAGCCCTCAGACGAAGAAATCCTTGGCTATGAATCCGCAGATGAGGATGACGACCTCGAAGACTCAGAAGACGACGAATACGATGGTATGGGTGAGCCAAAGAAGGGTGGTGCCGATTCAGAGGAGGAAGATGAAGGCATTGCCGCTTGGGGCACATCGAAGAAAGATCTTTACAACGCGGATCAGATCGAGACCGAGGTTGATGCATTGGAGGAAGAGCAGGAGGCCAAGCGACTACAAATGAAGCAGTTGCAGGCTATGAATGAGGCTGATTTCGGGTTCGATGAGTCTGAATGGATGGAATCCGGCAAGGGTACCGAGGACAGCGCCGATGCTGGCGTGGTGACTGAGGTGCTTCCACAACTGGAGATCACTGAAGATATGGATACCGATGAGAAGCTGAAGATCTTGAAGTCGAGATACCCCGAGTTTGAACCCCTGGCAAACGACTTTGTCGAACTTCAAAGCTCCTTCAAGGATCTTCAACAAGCAGCCTCAAAGGCTTCCCCAACAGAAGACGACTCAGAAGAGCCACAGCCATCACCAGTGCCAGTGGTCAAATTCCGTGCGTTATCTGCATACCTTGGCACGATTAGCATGTACTTCATGCTCCTCTCCTCCCCGTCTCCCGATGCTACTAGCGAACATGTTCCGATGACCCCCGCCGAACTCCGACAACACCCCGTCATGGGGTCGCTTGTCAAATTCCGCAAGCTTTGGAACACTGTGAAGGATCTCGAGGAGGTCGAAGAACCCACTGAGGAGCCTATCAAGGAAACTAAGACCGAGACCGCCAAGAAACAACCAAAGATCCAAGAGGTCAAAAAGCCGAAACAGAAGAAGCTCAGCAAGGCCGAGATTGCACAGGCAGAAGCCGAAGCTCTCCGCGACGAGCGTCTCCGCCAAACAGAAGCTGGCCTCGTCGATCTGGAGAACCTGGCCATCAAGCCGCAGAAGCGCAAGACACAAAAGATCAAGGCACCTCTCAAGGATGATGACTCTGACTTCGGTGACGAGGATGCCCTCACAGCCCGCGAGGCAGAGGAGAAGGCTAAGCAGAAGCGCTCACTCCGTTTCTACACCTCGCAACTGGCCCAGAAATCCAACAAGCGCAACGCAGCAGGCCGGGATGCTGGCGGAGACGCCGATCTTCCATACCGAGAACGTCTGCGTGACCGTCAAGCCCGTCTCAATGCGGAGGCTGAAAAGCGCGGCCGCAAAGAGCTCAATCCCGACCAGCAATTGGGTGGTGACAGCGACGAAGAGGATCATCGCGTCGCCAAGGAACTCCGCCGCGGCGAGGGTGCCAAGGATGATGACGACGACGAATACTACGACATGGTGGCATCCCGCTCCAAAAAGCGCAAGGATGACAAGCAGGCTCGTGCAGATGCCCACGCTGAGGCTGAGCGTCTTGGTGGAAGGGTATATGAACAAGAGGTGGTTGGCGAGGATGGCAAGCGTGCTATCACGTACCAGATCCAGAAGAATAAGGGTCTGCACGCGAAGCGCAGCAAGGACTCGCGTAACCCGCGTGTCAAGAAGAGAAAGAAGTACGAGGAGAAGCAGAAGAAGCTTGGCAGTACTAAGCAGCTATACAAGGGCGGCGAGGGCCGTGGTGGATACGCTGGTGAGCTTACGGGTATCAAAAAGAACCTGGTCAAGAGTGTCAAACTGTGAATGTGTGCTTGATCATAAACTTCACGGTCTTGTGTGTATGTTTTCATGGCGTTCACTGCGGGCAGTCTCAGGCATTCGATGTGTATATAACCCCGATTTCATCTTTTGGTTAAATCGAAGTTTCAAAAACCGTTTTATTCATCTCATTCAACTTTTTCTAGTAGATATATGATGTGCTTGATGCATCAAAGATTCTAGTCACTATAGTCCCCACTGAGACTCTTATCCCCGGTCTAGATACAAATGATTAGCCCCGGACATCCACATTAAAGTGCAGTGAAGGCCGACATACCATTGAACGTGTGTATACCCGTAAATCCTTCCATCATGCGCTTGCTGATCCCAAAGTCACCGATCTTGACCCACCAGTCTGGGCCTGTAGATATCACCAAATTATTCTTCCTGAGATCAGAAAAGTAGAGGTAAAAGTAAACGCATCATGGCTGGAGCATAGGCTTCAGGTCACCATGGGTGAACCTGTTTTCGTGTATAAAGTCAAGACTCTCGAGAAGCTGGAAGGTAATCTGCCGTGCTTCTCTTTCCCGAAATAGCTGCGGCATATACTTCTGTAGATCCCCGAGAAGAAAATATGCCATTGTGATCAACATATACTCAGTGCTCTCAAACCAGCCCGGTGCTCTCACAAAGCAACCACCATACTGACCATATATGTAAGTCAATAAATTTGGCAGGAGTAAATCAAGAATCCAAAGTACAAATACCAATCATGTACCTTAGGTACCTTTTGCTGCGAGAAATGAGCAATGATTTCTAACTCGCGATGATAATCTATAGACCTCGACCCCGGGACCAACTTGCGCACTTTCTTAACAACCCGGAGCTTGCCTTCACTGACGCATTCTTCCAACCATATAGTACCGAATATACCAATGCTAGGGTCACGCTTCTTCTTCCACACTTCCTCTTGCTCACGACGTCTTCCATGCCAACCAGTGACTAACGCTGATTCGAGAAAAGTGTGCGTTGTAAAGCCTGCATCGAGCCTGGTAGGGAGCTTCGAATCCTTGACAAGATCGGAGATTTGCGACATGCGGGGCCTTGAACGACCCTGGGCTGTGAGTATTAATCGCAGGGCGGATATTTCCTATGATACAACGTAGACATCGTCGAACTAGAGGGCGCGAACGATGAGTGTGATGCTTGAATTGGTGCACATGGTCACATTGGGAGTGCAGAAGATAATATCAGCGTGCGATTCAGGATCCTCTTTCAAAACCCTACACGTAAAATGACTGAGGTAAGATTCGGGGTAAATTCATTTTTGTTTTGGCCCCCGGTTGCTACGAATGCAGTGGCAGTGACTTCATTCTCCTAGGGGGAAAGATAGATCGACATCGTGTGTTCGGCTAATTTTGGTTATGACATAGGGCATAAATGTATATGTAATCTGTAAGGATAGGTCATTGGCCTCCCTGCACTTGATAATAAAATCCTTTCACTTGAACAAGCCTTCGAAGACTGCCCTGACATGGTCTGAGCTACCTTGTGAGAAATCCGCCTCCAGGAAACCTCTCGCCAGGGAGTTCTTGTAAGGCTGTCAGTCACATCTTTTCAACCCAAAAACATGGGACTCGTACTGCTTCTTCCAGGTCTTGCATTTCCCCTGAAGATAAAATTGCACAGGCCGCGACAATATTCTCTCCTCGCGCTGAAAGAGACGCAATCTCGTTTGCGCGAGATATAACAGCTGGGTCGATACCATTAATTGCCGCACAGCTATACCACAAGTGAGTCAAAAGCAAACGAAAAGGAATATGGGTATTATAATAAGCAAGACGTACATGGTACCAAAGCTCTTGTTACTTCGCCCCGGACGAAAGCTGTTCAAAATGTAAGTATCATTTACATACTAATTAATCCAGGAGCCAGGGGCCATGCACTTACTTATAAAGATATGTGATCTGATCCTCGAATTCCTGGGTTTCCTCGCACACTTGAACTTCCATATGGCCAAGATGAAGATGAGGCCGCAAAGCGAGGAAGTTGTTCTCGAAAATCTCATGGAAATGGGTTGCTGCAATGACTTTAGCGGGGCTTTCGAGGCACAGCAGATAGTCGAATATGCCACAGGCAAGTCCGATGCCGTCTGAATGTGTCAATTAGTCTGCACCAAGAGCTATATACATGGAGTAACAGACCGCTTTCGTTTGTTCCCTTCCCAAACTCATCGATGATGACTAGGCTTCGATTTGTGACTTGTTTCAGGCAGAGAGAAATCTGCTGCAAATCATTCATGAATGTGCTTTGGATCTAGAAACATGTTAGACTGCCACATCCGAGGCTTTGTACAGAGAGTCAAGAATACCTTGGAGACACTCTCTTGTGTATTAATTTTAGTCAAGATTCTATCAGTGACTCCCAACTCTGCGCTGTCTGCAGGGACAAAGCTGTGACAATCAGCCTTTGTATGGCCATCTTGATGGAGCTGAACATACCTTCCAATCTGTGCTAAGTAGACGATCAGAGCAACCTGGTTCTTGGTCAGAAATCGGCCTCCACGAAGACAAATAAAGCTTACCTGCTTGATGTAGACACTTTTACCTGAGTAGTTCGGCCCAGTCAAGAGCAACATGCTGGGATTTTGATCCATGGAGGAAGCAGCTTCGTTGGTCTCGGACTCCGCCCCACCAACAAGCAATGTGTCATTTGGCACATAGGACGAAACAGTCAATTCTTGAAGAATATGCCTGTCCTCTGTCAGAGGTGTCGATAGATGGGTGTCAGCAAGCTCTTACCGGCCACCTTTGATTCTGATCACATTTTGTTCAACCATCCGTGGTCTGGTCAGCTTATAGAAGCTGGCTGCCTGTGTGAGTGCAAGAAGACTGTGGAATTCGTATCAGTGAGCCTCGCGTCATGTCCCACACGCACTAACCTATCAATATCTCCACAAATATCAGAAGCATCGACGAGCATATTCTCATATCGTAGGACCCTCTGCGCTAAGTTATATACAATTTCGATTTCTTTCTCTGTCAATGTGCACCTTTTAGTTCTCAATTTCTATGGCTCCCCACTAACTGGCAAGCTTACCGCAAATGATACCGTATATATCCCCTAGCTTCTCGTCCATCTCTCTCATACGGAAGTCTTTGAAATACGCCCGATTCTCTGTGATGAACATCAATTCCCATTCATCGTCGGAGCCAGTATATGCCGCGGCGCCATAATCATTCAGTGGAATGGCGATATTGAACCCAAGCTGAGGGAAGTAGATGACATTGACGTCGACTTCGAGGGTCGCCGGGATTGTCCCGGCAATGTCGAGGGCGACGTGCTTGAGTAGGCTGCTGAGACCATCATATCTGTCCTTGACTTTGTCAAGCTCTCGATCGATGCCTTGTTTGACCACTGTTCTTCCTTGTTCTTCGGAGTTATCGATGTCGACCTAGAAAGTCAGACACATCGTTCATTCCTAATAGAAAGGCACGTACAATCTCTTGAATCATACGACCAACTCGGTACAGCTGTGCTGCCTCGAAAACTCTGAGAGCCTACAAGCTGTTAGTACACGGACTGAAATGTCTATTGCCTATTGACCTTAGTTCGGAGAGTCAGGATATGCGCGCCTGAGACCTCTCGCAGTGCATCACTGATGTCGATAGTGTAGAACGCAAACTGGTCAGCCACATCATTAGTATCGAAATGCAAGGACTATCACTCTAACATGGATGGATGATAGCAAATCAAACGTACAGCAAGAAGGCTAGCCCAAACCGTAGTTTTGAACCCGGTGATTTTAGCACTGCCAGTACTAATTCCCTTGCGAAGATTGACCATAACAGGTCTGAGGTTTTTAACGTGTTTCAACGCTTTCGTCATCTTGTCCAATGCGGCAAGATTGTCAGGGCGGGAAAAGACTCCTATAAAGTCATGCCGTTCACGAATCGTGTCCAGGTCTACGCTTGGACGGAAAAAGGTTTGCTTGAGTCTAGCCCTACCCTGAGGGGTGTATGAAAAGTGCTGGAAGAGTCCATAGACCGAAAGACCTTCTTTGCCTGAACCTGACTTTTTCCCCGGGCCTTGGTTGAACATATTGGGGTGTGACTCCGACTGGATAATCTGGAGAGAGGTGAAGGTGTTGCTGCTGATCCACATCGTATTCCGCAGATTGAACATTTGCAGTGCTCGAATCTGATACTCATTTCCATTTTCGAAGGAGCTAGGCGCCGCAGCTCTTCGTCTTTGTAGATAGGTGAGGACGGCTCCTGCGCACCCAATAGTCACGGGGTTCTCCATGTCGACGTAGCTTGAGATATGCAACAGTCTTCCTTCTTGGAGTGTGAAGCCCATCTCTTCTGGATCCACTTCTTCCGGTCCGGCCAGGCCATTTTGAGGAACGAAAAACCGGATGCGCTGTTCGTGCGTAGATGAAATTTCTAAGGCGAGAAGTTTGCTTTCCGCATTGGAGTAGCTGAATTCCGGCGTTGGGCGAACGTCTATCTGGTAAGGAAGATAGGCAGAAGAAACTGGGCAGAGAGTATCAGCATTTGCTTGCACGGGACAAGATCAATGAGCCCCGGAGTAATGCAAGTATACCATCTTCTTGTGCAAGATTTTGATCTTGATTCTGCGAGCTAAAATCGACACGAGGAGGTGTCAAAACCACTGTAGGTTTGATTTGGAGAAGCACTGAGAATGGCCCGATTAGCGCTTCAGATATAAACCCAAACTAATGATAAACCCACAAGCGTCAATGGTCTCTATATCTCCCGAGCGTGAGTCACCGAGAAGATACAACTTTTCTTCTTCGGCTGAATAGTATGAGCATCCTACAGTTCCATGGTCCTTCATGTCGATGGCAGCAATGACATGGTCATCGAAGTCATCATCAGTAGCCCTCACCGACCGATCTGTTTCGATCTTACTGTCTGTAGGGAACGGAGTGCGCAACTGACTTGCTGATGGAATGATAGGAGTTTGGGGAGGACCACTTGAGATATTAAGACCTTGACTTGATGGCACTCTATGGCCCAGTCGTCGCCCAGAGGTACGAGGTGTAATTGGAGGGCGGGAAGCTGGTGTTCTCTTTCTTTTTGTGGAAGGCATCATGTCAAGACCAGTGGAATTGGGATACCTGAAGATGCGATATGAGAGGGAAATGATGGGGTAAGATCAAATGGTGTGTGTCCATTGTATGGGCAGTGGCCCTAGTCACCTGTTCACGGGTCATTCGTTGTTCAAGCCTACGTAAAACAAGCGATTTAATCATGAGTAGAACTAGATTATTGTACAATGAGTGAGTGGACTAGTATACAAAGTCATAAGATGTACAGAAAAGGTCCGACATACAAAGCAGAAATTCCCCCAGGGAGACGCAAAACACCGTATATACCAAAAAAAAAAAAAAAAAAAAAAAAAAAAAAACGCCAGATTTCATGCTTCATTTACTCTTCCGAACTTACCACCAGGCCAGACTTATTCTCGTCGAGAGATACTTGGATAGTTTGACCAGAGACAACTTCGCCTCGGATGATCTTGTCAGCCAAGCGGTTTCCAATTTCCTTAGCAATGAGACGGTTCAAAGGCCGGGCACCAAATCTTGGGTCGTAACCTCTCTCACACAGCCATTCCTTGGTCTCATCGTCAACCCGCAGGGTCATACGACGGTCATCGAGTCTGCCCTGGAGCTCTCGGAGTCTGATGTCCACGATGTCTCGTAGAGCATCCTTAGACAGGCGCTTGAAGATGATGAATTCATCAATTCGGTTCATGAACTCGGGTGGGTACGCGCTCTGAACCACATCCATAACGGCCGTCCTCATCTTTTCTGAGACCTCGGAATTATCAGAGTCATTAATTGGGTACAGAGGGTCCGCTCCGACCAGGATACTAGCTCCGAGGTTCGAGGTCAACACAATTAGAGTGTTTCGGAAATCGACTTTGTGGCCTTGTGCGTCTGTCAGGAAACCCTCGTCAAGGACCTGTAGCAGTAGCGCTGAGATATCACGATGCGCCTTCTCGAATTCATCAAATAACAGAACAGCGTAAGGCTTCCGTCTGACAGCCTCGGTGAGCTGACCAGCATCATCATACCCGACATACCCGGCAGGAGAACCGATGAGTCGACTGATTGTGTGCTTCTCCTGGAACTCACTCATATCAAACCTTAAAACGGCGGTTTCGGTGGAAAAGAGGAACTCTGCCATTTTCTTGCAGAGCTCAGTCTTACCAACACCAGTGGGACCAAGGAACATGAAAGAGGCCATAGGGCGATTTTCTCCGCTGAGACCAGCTCTCTGCATCCGCACAGCGTTTGCCACAGCAGAGAGCGCTTCGTCTTGTCCACGGACTGACTTCCGGAGGGTATCCTCCATGTGAATCAGCTTCTCCACATCTCCAGCCATGAGCTTGTTAACGGGGATGCCTGTAGTCCGAGAAACGACGTTGCCAATGTCATCCGCAGTAACTGAGTCATGAATCAACGTTTGATTTTGAGGATCCTGCTCAGCGCCTTCTTTGGGTAGCTTGGCTTCGAGTTCTGGGATAGTGGAGTATCTCAACTCTCCGGCCTTGGCAAAGTTTCCTTCGCGTTGGGCTTGGTCAAGTTCAAACCGAGCATGTTCCAACTCCTCCTTGGTGCGTTTGATGGTATCGATTTCGGCCTTTTCCTTTTCCCAGGCTTCAGTCAATTTATCGGTCTCCGTTTGCTTGGTTTTCAGGTCTTCTTGAAGTTTCTCTCGACGTTCGCGGCTAGCAACATCGGTTTCCTTGCGAAGAGACTCAAGCTCAATTTGGATGGTAGTGATATCACGCTCGAGTTCCCGAATCGAGTCGGGCTTTGACTCCTGCTGCAAGCGGAGAGCCGAGGCAGCTTCGTCGACAAGATCAATCGCTTTATCGGGCAGAAAACGATCAGTGATATAACGATTACTGTAAGTAGCTGCTGCTACTAAAGCACCATCCGTGATTCTGACACCATGGTGCACTTCGTATTTGTTCTTGATGCCTCGTAGAATGGAAATGGTCGAGGCGACCGATGGCTCCCCCTACCAAAATAGGCTGGAACCGTCGGGCAAGAGCTACATCCTTTTCAATCAATCGATATTCGTTGAGAGTGGTCGCACCACAGCATTGGAGCTCGCCTCGGGATAGAGCAGGTTTGAGCAGATTGCTAGCATCAATACTGCCCTCAGCCTTACCCAGTCCCAGCAAGGTATGAAGCTCGTCAATGAAGAGGATAACACCGCCTTTCGCATCCTCCACTTCCTTCAGGACGGCTTTCAGACGCTCTTCAAAGTCGCCGCGGAACTTGGCTCCCGCAATTAAAGAGCCCAGATCCAACGAAACAACTCTTTTGTTTTTGATGCTCTCCGGGACATCTCCTTGTACAATGCGCTGAGCCAGCCCTTCGAGAACGGCGGTCTTACCAGTTCCAGCAGAACCGATCAGCACGGGATTATTCTTAGTTCGCCGAGACAGAATTTGAATAGTTCGGTGAATCTCGGCGTCTCGTCCAATGACTGGATCCAGCTTGCCAGCTTTAGCTTTTTCGGTGAGCTCAACACCATACTGCTCGAGTGCTGATTTCTCCTCCTCTCCGCTCATATCCATGCGGTGGGTGCCGCCTGGAGGGTGTGGGCGGCCCTTGGCATAGTGGCGGACAGAGATGGGACTAGGATTTGCGGTTGGTATAATGAAAGAGGCACCGGATAGTAGGCTTAATCTCGGAACCGGGGACAGAAAACGGGTCGATGATAGCCGAGGCGTCCGCAGAAGCCTACTGCGGGCATTGAGGGATAATCTTGCCGCCATGATGTGGATAGTGAAATCAGGCCTTAGCAGATGAAAACCGTAGAGTACTTCAAGATCCGATGTGGTCGCTAGTATAGCTTAAATACTAGCAACCAAGTACCCTCGGGAGGCTTCTCGAAAGATCCACATCGATAACGCTGAGTGGCGGAGAGAGCTGTAGCTCCGTCACCAGTCAATCACATGACCGGTATAAGCTATGTCACCAGTCGATCACCTGACCCGGAGCCCAAGCTCTGCCAAGTCACCTGACTAGTCCTCGCTATTCCACGTTTTTCCGTGACTCCGTCGAGATTTTCCGTAATAAAAAAAAAACTCCTCCCTTTTTAACCCCTCCCTCATCTACTTTCTTCTCCTTTTCTCTTCTTCTTTTTCTTCCAGATACCACCACACCTCTCTTTCACAATGGGTTTCACCGACTTTGTCTCTGATGCCGGCCTGACTCGTAGGCGCCCCTGAGATTTTGTTATTTCGAATCAATTGGTGACTGACTGTGCCCCTCAGTGGCCGACCACTTCCTTTCCACTCGGTCTTACGTTGTTGGGTATGAATTCCTACCCCCTTAATTGCCTTTTGATTTTTTTTTTCTTTTCTTTTTCCTGTTATGCTTTCATGATGAGAAACATTGGTCCGTGTTTAGGAGGCGGATTAAGACCCCGCTGGATGACTACAACCAATCGCGAGCAATCGCACCTCTGATTTAGCTCCGCTATGCTACATTGTTGAACAATCTAGTCTGATGAACATCATTGCTGACCATGTTCAAATAGCAACTCGCCCAGCCAGGCTGATGTCGTGACCTTCAAGGCCTTCAGCGCCGCCCCCGACGCTGCCAAGTACCCCAACGTTGCCCGCTGGTACAAGCACATCGCCTCTTACGAGAGCGAATTCTCCACCCTCCCCGGTGACTCCTCCGCGGCATTCACTGCCTACGGCCCTGAGACCAAGGATCTTCCCTCCAACCCCAAGGACAAGCCCGAGGAGGAGGACGATGAGGAGGATCTCTTCGGCTCCGACTCTGAGGAGGAGGACCCCTCTGTCGTTGCTGAGCGCAACAAGCGTCTGGAGGAGTACAAGGCCAAGAAGGCTGGTAAGGTTAAGCCCGCCGCCAAGTCCATCGTCACCATGGAAGTCAAGCCTTGGGGTATGTATCTTCCTGTCTCTCTTGCGTATTTCAAGTGCTGACAAGTATTATCAGATGATGAGACCAACCTTGAGGAGTTGGAGGCCAACGTCCGCGCCATTGAGCAGGATGGCCTCGTCTGGGGTGCCTCCAAGTGGGTTCCCGTCGGCTTCGGTATCAAGAAGCTCCAGATCAACCTTGTCGTCGAGGATGAGAAGGTCTCCACCGATGAGCTCCAGCAGCAGATCGAGGAGGATGAGGACCACGTCCAGTCCACTGACATCGCTGCCATGCAGAAGCTGTAAATTTGCGATGCCCATTTATGAAGCAGGAATTGTGTGATGGAAATGTGTGATGTCAAAGGAATCCTTTACGAACCTAGTCCAACTAGAAAGCTGGTCCAGTAGTGACCGGTCATTGATGAAAAAATCAAAAATTCATGACCAATTCTATATCCACCATAAGTTGCCCACGTCTGTGTCTGAAATTGCGAAATTAAGCTCCTTGTGTCGTTTGTGTCCTCCAGCCTGCCTAATATAGTGATTGTAATTGCTCCGCAGAGATTTTTTGCAGACACATGTCGCCTTTGGGTGTCTGATGGCATATACATCAACACTCAATATCTAGCCTCTTTAAGTTACAGAAGCGCCCGCTATCGCCTTCCATACCGCGAACATACAGATGCTCTTTCAAACCCTAATCACATGATCGATCTTGCTACTGTAGATATGGTTACTCCCGTACCTTTTGTCATGTTTCAGTTCGGAACCGTAAAAATCAAACCGGATTATTACGATCCAAAAATCCACCCCCATGCGACTCATCTGCTCACGCAGATAGCAAGCTGGCATGTCCCATCTTTCACTACATACTATGATCCACTGCTAGTCCTCGGTCAGATCTTTTAATGTAATCCACGGCCGAACCGTACACCTACCCGTATTACAAGTTTTCAAGATAGATCATCCTAACCAAAACGACTCATTTACTATCAAACTAGCAATTTTTACATTGATTAATCCTATGGCCAAATCCTCCACATCCACTGCAGGTAGCCGGAGACCTCTTGCGTGGCTGGTCTTGCTGAGTACATAGGTAAATCGCCCTGCTCATGCGATACTACCTCATTAGCTTCGACTGGCTGTATTAGACATATTCAGCTAAGGCGAAATGCTCGGCCGGGCTCGCTTGGTTTTGCCAGGCAGTATATTTGTAAGCATGCCAAGCCCTATGTTATTTCAATTTTATTCCAATTTAATTAAATACAGCATGATCACCTAATAATTTATCTATACAATTAACTGTATTCGCACTGTGAGCACTTTAGCAGAAATAATATTATAGCCTAATAGTAGGTTATAATATTTTGTAGGGGAAGGTGTATTAGGTAAGCTTTATCTTATATAATATTGTATTATATATGTAAGCATAATAGTAATTGTAAGATATATACTATGGTGTGAGAGTATAAGATATATATTTTACCGGTAGTATCTAAGAGAACCTTAGATATATTATCTACGGTAAACTATATTATGACTCACAATATATCGCCATAAATCTAGGATATCATAATGAAGTCATTCTATTATTAATGACTTTCTATGATATTCTATACTGCTAGAGCTTGCCTATATAAGGAATGGAGGATTCCTAGCTAGAAAACAATTATTCAATACAACTTTTTGTTACGGACCTATCAGGCACCCAGCGACCCAAACTACCCCACCAGCATCATGGGCCATCGAGAGCCAATCAACCTAGATCACGTGCAAAGGACACCCCGGTAAACCAGAAATCGTGTCACGTGATCATACAGGTAGTAGACAGGTCGACGGTAGAACGATAGATTCCGCCAAGACAAATCTACCAAGCTACTATCTACCTAACTACTCCCAGGAAGATAGGAGGATATATAAGGACGTTCATTTATATACTTAGTTTAGTTCTTCGTCTTTAATCCTATATTGTTACTTATATATACTTTTGAGAAACACGAGACTCTTGACTAAAGATATAACTTAACAACACTACGAGTTAGACTAATACCCCGGTATAGATCTACTTAGCGCTCTACCTAGCATCGATTCCTCGACACGACTCCTAGGGACTTAGGCTATAGTAAGGCCTACGGATAAGGTAATAGCTCAGTGACGATAGATATATCGTTAATATTGGAAAACCCAAGGCGTAATAAGGTAACTATACCCTAAACTGTCTAACCTAACTGTGACTAGTTAGTTAGTGCGTAACACATTGAAGACTATCTCGATCTTAGTCTCGAGTCTAAACGAACGACAATATGTCTTAAATCGAAAAGAGAGTAATATAGGCTCCGGTCTAGTAACCTAAGAAAGAGGAACCGGACTCCGACGATAAGAGAGACAAGACTATTACGAGGCAGGAAAAGTAACTGGCTAACCTACAACGTAACCTAGAAAAAGCCATGTAGGCCATCAACGATCACGACGTAAATAACAGTAGTAAGTTCGGATAAGTCGACGACTTCCTCGAATAACTCAAGTAATAGGTGATCGGCTCTATACCCGCTAGCGTAGCCGGTATACTATGACTCCCTAAGGCAGAATACTTTAAAGGAACCCAATCTAAGCTTCGAGGATTCCTTATATAGATAGATATACACTTAGATATAAACTAAGATAAGTTACCTAGCGAAGCTAGTAAGGTGATTTTTGTATCCACTTACCTATACGGATAAGCCTAGAACTAGCTCGAGCTATATATACGAGATTATTATAAGAAGACACCGGAAGAATAGTCATTCACCACTACTTCTATCTTTAAGAGCTATACTAGCTTTAGACAATACCTAGAACGAACGTTCGGAGATATCGATACCTAACGAACCGCTAAAAGAAGACTATAGAAGATCAAGTAGTAGGGTAGCGTATCGGTCTATACGTCCGAATTCTAGTAGATTATATCCTACTTAGACTTACCTAATCAAGTGTATATTCTGTACTTCGAAGTAGGGTTAAAGCTAGAAGTTAAGGATAAACTAGCACAAATCGATAGACCCAACACTTTAGATCAACTTATCGCTATCACTATTAAGATCGATAACTATATTAATAAGAGATAATATAAGCGACGAGAAATAGAGTAGTAGAAGAAGGGTAAATCATATAGATTTAATCGATTCTGACAGTATAGGCGCTATAAGAAAGCACCGCGTAACAACGATCTATATAGCCCGAAGCCGATAGAGTTAGACACCACTTAAGATAAGTAGAAAAAGTGTCGATAGAAAAACCTTTATTTTATATACGGGAAACTAGGACACTATATTCGAGAATATAAGAACAAGAGGCCTAATAGACCGCGGCCTAGGTACTAGGCTCTACGTAAAGAACTATATATAACGTAAGAATAGATACCACGCGAAGAACTACGTGCGATATAAGAAAACAAATACCTAATCAGCGAGTCATTAGAAGATCTCTTAGTAAGATAGAATAACCTAAGCCTAGAAGAGATATTGGCCGGTAACCTATATATTGAAGGGTTAACCGAAGGGCCACGAGCGGAATTCCCAGAAATCGAGTGGGATACGATAGAAAGTCAAGGATAGACCTAGTACGTGAACCTAGGAGCTAGCGACTCCTAGGAAATAGGTAACGACTTCCGGGAGTAAGAAGTAGGTCACCTAGGGATACCA